CAACCATATCAACCATATAAACCATACCAACCATATCAACCATATAAACCATACCAACCATATCAACCATACCAACCATACCAACCATATAAACCATATAAACCATACCAACCATATAAACCATATCAACCATATAAACCATATCAACCATATAAACCATATCAACCATATCAACCATACCAACCATACCAACCATACCAACCATACCAAGCATATCAACCATATAAACCATACCAACCATACCAACCATATCAACCATATAAACCATACCAACCATATCAACCATATAAACCATACCAACCATATCAACCATATCAACCATACCAACCATACCAACCATATCAACCATATAAACCATATAAACCATACCAACCATACCAACCATATCAACCATATAAACCATACCAAGCATATCAACCATATAAACCATACCAACCATATCAACCATATAAACCATACCAACCATACCAACCATATCAACCATATAAACCATACCAACCATATCAACCATATAAACCATACCAACCATATCAACCATACCAACCATACCAACCATACCAACCATATAAACCATATCAACCATATAAACCATACCAACCATACCAACCATATCAACCATATAAACCATACCAACCATATCAACCATATCAACCATATAAACCATATCAACCATATCAACCATATAAACCATATAAACCATATCAACCATATAAACCATATAAACCATATCAACCATATCAACCATATCAACCATACCAACCATACCAACCATATCAACCATACCAACCATACCAACCATACCAAGCAGACAGATTACAACAGATGTAACTGTTATTTATATCTCCTGCATTTTTTAGACTCATGGCTTCCAGATAATCTGACTTCACCATCACTCTACTGGACTTTCAGACTACGAGACAAAGATCTAAAATACCGCTGCAAAAGGAAAAGTGGTGGATCAGCAGTGCTTATGAATAATATATGGTGTCATCCAGTACATGTTGCTGTGAAGTGTCGTTTCCATGTTTGAAGTAAGTTTAGTTTCCATCCATATTATTTATCTAAAGAGTTCACCAGTGTTATTTTCAGAACTGCTCACATTCCAACCTCAGCTGTTACTGATGATGCATAGTTTCATCAGTGCAGTTGTTACAAAGCAACAGATGTGACACCGCAAAGGCAAAATTTGTGAACTTGAGTCACGCCTCAATATACATTTAAACAACTTGCAGCTGCTCTGTCAGCTGCAAGTTGACAGCAACAAGGCGCTGGCTTTTTAAATTTATTTATGTAAATGTCAGAGATGCACACGTCTTTGAAGCAAGACCCTCTCTTGACAAATCCAAAAATATTAGAGATGTGAGGTCAGGCATGAAGACGATCACAAGTTTCAAGCCAAAGGAGAATTTGACAGATGAAAGTCTGAATAGAGCAAATGACCTGAACTCATTCTTCAAAAGAATCAGTTCAGGAACCAGCTCATCATCTTCATCATCTTCATCATCATCATCATCATCATCATCATCATCATCATCATCATCATCATCATCATCATCATCTTCTGTCCCAAGCCAAACAGACGTCCTACCTTCCTTTCGTTTGACAGTTTTCCTGTCTTTCAAGATGTGGAGGTGGTTGGGGATTATAAATACCTCGGTGTTCGGTGGGACCACAACTTGGACTGAAGTTGGAAAAATAAAGCTACAAGAAGGGACAGAGTGGACTTCACTTCTTAAGGAAGCTCAGATCCTTCAGTGATTGCAGAGATGCTGCATATCGTCTATGAGAGTCCAGCACCCAAAAGGCTCAACTGTCAGATGAAGACGGCTGGTTCTGTTCTGGGGATGACTGTGTTACTCACAGTGACTCAATTCAGTGTTGCACAATGAAACAGTGTCTCCAGTCAGAGGGTTTTCTAGAACTCTTTCTGCTCACAGTCATGAGTTTCTCTTTACAGAAGCCTGAATAATATGAGTTATATTTGATTACCCTTTAGTCTAATTAAAGTATTCTTGAATTTATACTTTCAGGTTCTCACCATAAACCTTCAGACATGTTGCAGCTGTCAGAGCTCCATCAGGATATGCATTAAACAGACACAGGTAACATCCTGCATCCTGCTCCGTAACGTTCCTGATAACTATCGAGTTCTTCTGCAGTCCAGCTTCTGTAAACTGAACTTTATCTTTAAATCCGTCATTCACTGTTTCACCAAAATACTCGCTGTAGGATCCAATATTCCTCTCTGTTTTCTCCAAGACCTTCTGCCAGGTGACCTGCTGGACGTCTTTAGTTTCCATCAGATGACAGCTGAGAGGAGCATCTTCTCCTACTGCTGCCAACACCGTCTGCTGGGTTTGGATCAGAACTGCTAGACCTGCAGGACATAATCAAAGGAAATGGATCAGAATATCTTTATTTATATCATGTATCATTCCATAAGAGAGCTTTGATTTATTCTCTGTATGTTCTTAGGATGGAAAATCACAAGGATTGAGAAACAACCGAGTGTGATGCAACTTAATATCAACAAGGAAACCAAATCAGTTTCACTTCCTTTTTTTTTCCTCTGGTGGCCCCAAGTAACATTTAAGATGTGGAAATTCGTTTCTTAAAATACAGATGTGGAAATTTTATTGAAGGGCTGCCCGCAAACAGATTTGTAATAATCTATTTACATATCCTTGTTATTAGGACTTAATAAAATGATCTGGTCTCTATCAGGTTCTCTAATGTACAAAGTCAGACCAAATGTCCCCAATGTCATTAACTAACCATGGATATTAACTATTGCTGCTTCCATTGGATTTTTAGCAGTCAGTAAATAATTTTGAGAGAGCATTTTTATAAAAACAAGAATTTGGAACATTTTTGTCTGCAGCAACAACATCTAGACCAAGACCTGGTCATAATAGTAAGGTGGAAACTAAAAGAGAAATCTGCCTGAACAAGTCTGGGAAAGTCAATGGACTAAAGCCTTGTTATTAAAAACAACATTCCTCACCAACTATCATATAACAAAGAAGAAGAACTGAGTTACTGCAGCTTAATGTGCTTCTAGAAGATGTAAAATATATTTTTACTAATTTCTTTAATGCATTATAGTGAGAAATCTGTTGTATTTTTCTACAGATGACATTTGATTGAAACACATTTTGTTCTCAATAATGCATAAGACCAGACATTAAAAGCCAATTCAGGTCTTTTTGTGAACAGTTGCAAAATGTAACCTGAGGAGACACAGTCTCTACAGACACCTGCACAATGTGATCAGTGTTAATTATGTCACAACACAAAGCTGTCTTGTTTTCTGACCTATGACCTTCTTTGTCTGTTCCTTATGAAGCAATTTTATTGTTCAACAACTCTAGTGACTGTCCAAAAACTTAAGGCAACATCATCCCTAAGATATGAAACACATACAAAATCAATGCATGATCTTTTCAGAGGCTTACTGCAAGAAATGTTACAAGACATAAATGTTTCAAGATCTGAGTCCTAAAACCAGAGTCAAAGTCAAGTCTGAGTCTTTTGTGTGATTCAAGTCAAAATGCAGCTTTATTTGTTTCCATTGGAACCTCTATTATGATTAAAACATGTATTTCTGGATCTATTATTAGTGTTGCATCCCAGTTCCTCCTGTCTGGTTTGGCAGCTGATGTTCTCTTCACCTCTATAAGATAGCAAAATACAGACACACCTAACCAGTAAATCTTTAACTGAACAGTGAACATGTGGCGTTCTCTATTGTGTATTTCCCTGCTGTAAATGTGATTAAAACATTGTTTTTCTCAACATCTTCTAAACCTAACTACTATCTACAGAAGATAAACTAAACCAAGCAACATTATTATTCAATAGTAACAAACAGAAGTAGAGAAAAATCTAACTAATGTACAATGAACACATTTCCTAATAAAAGTGGGTTGTTTTTTTATGTAAATATTAAACATTTGAAACTAAGACCCACAATTAGTTATTGTAATATTTACAGTAACTTTTCTAATGAGATTAGAAAAGAAAAGCCACTTTGAGCATAAAAAGCTTGAGCAGTGTTTGTTTGTCTCACCTTTCTGAAATGATCCTCCGAGGGTAAAAAGACACAAAATTAAACACATTCCGTCCATGAGGCATCGCAACGTGGTGATGGTGATGGAGAGTTGAAAGCGGAGAAATGACAGTTAACACCCCACATTGTGGGGTGTGAGGTGACGACAATAGCGCCCCCCTGTGGCTGGAGCGTGCATCGCTCTAAACTCTCGCATACTGACTGAAGAGGAAACGTTTAAAGATATTCGTAACATCATCACGGTTCTTAATCTTTAAGGCCTTTTAACACTATAATAACTTAAATCATCACAAACCAGAGGCTCATTATGTAGAACATGTTTTATCATCCTTAACTGTCTTGACTATTAATGTTTTTTGGGGGTGATTTTAGTTTGAAAAAACTAACTTGCTTTCTATTGTTTTTGTTTTTTTTACATTCTATCCATTTATTTCCAGCTTCCACATTTTAAAGTGAGTGAATAATGACATCATAATGATATTGTTAGGATTGCTCCAAAGTGGCTCCATGTTGATCCAGGAGGAGAGCATGCTGCACCCAGAGACTCCAGTGAATCTGGTAACCTTTGGTAATGAACAGATGTTTAAGATGGAGAGTTGATTCTTACACAAGAAGCAACTGGCTGGTTAGAAAGTGGTTGCAGCTGTGACTCAATACAAGGAGCTGAAGTTGAGATGAAGAAAATGACTGATATACATTAGAGCAAACCAGAAATATGAGAAATAATTACAATTAGAACTAAAATGGTGACTGGAGAACAAAAAACATGTAAGAAAAACAACTAAACAGAAAATACAAGTTTCCAAACTAAAACAAGAACTAAGAACTACAGAGAAAAAGACTGGAAAGATCTGGAGATGAATATGCAGAAGAAACTGGAAAAAAAAAACACAATAAAATGAACATTTTAAAAATATTTTTAATGCTCCATCTTCACGAGTAATAGTCACTGAAGCTTACAGACAGGGGACATCAGTAGTTTCAACTGATGAAAAATGTAAATTAGAGACTGAAAGTAAATTCAAATTTGTCAGTTTTTTCTCCATAGAGTAACTGAATGAAGACAGTATGCAAAAAAATGTTTTATAATGATAATAACAAAAAAAACATTATTTAATTTGTACATAGAATCTTCATTATTTTAAGTCATCCATCATATTTCCTTCTTTTGTCTCACTCATGTTCTTCCCCCATATAAATAATAACAATGACATTCATTACTTTAGCTGTAACTTGCTGTTTTCCTTCATTTCTGCTTATAATACTGGAAATGTTTATCAGATTTGTAAAAGATAACATCCATCCTTCATAACATTCTGAAATTAAAGTGCGTTTTCTACATTAATATTTGAACCTCCACATATAGATGAACGTGTGCATATTTTAAATCCAGAAGAATCTATACATAACATCGCATAGATTCAGATTATTGTTTATTGTTTTTTGTCAAGTATATTCTAACATCTATTGTCTGGCTTCACATAAAGAAGTGATTATCTTAGCTGTATTTTTTGTAAGAGTCAAATAGCAACACATTTATGTTGCCATCATAAAAAACAAAAAATAAATAAAAATGCCTCTTTTCCCTGAATATTAACAAACTGTCTTTGGCTTCAGTTTTGTTTTGTTTCATCTACTGTTATGTGAATTTTTTCATTTCTGTTTTTTATCCTCACAAATTTTCACAGAGACCTTTCGCTTGTTAAAACTAACTTTCTCCATTACTCCTATGGGTAAACATTGGTAAACTTGCTCAATGGCACTCACTAATGCTCACTTTCACAAACACAGATTAAAAGGCAAGTTGGATTGAAGCACCTTAAACTTTCATCAACATGCGAAGGCAGGAAACTGAAATCAAACCCACAACCTTCTCATTGAGGGAGAAAACATCAACCCACAAAATAATCAAAATCCAAACACAATCAGTACTAGAAAAAGGAATTATTCAAACATAAAATTGATAGACAGACAAATAAATATTTCCTCACATTCGTGCTCTTCTTCCAGAAGCAACAAAAACTCAACATCTTGTTAATGCAAGAATTAAAATTTGCTAAGAGATATAAACGCAAAACAAATATCTCTGTTTTCCCTCAAGGTAAAAAAAAAAACAGCTGTTTGATAAAAGGAGAAAGGGAAAAACTGATGCTGAACACTAAAGCGCTAATATGCTAATGCTACAATATAATAATACAGTTGCTGCTGAATACATTTCATTTGTCTTTCTTAAGTAAAAAGATATTTGTACCTTCAAAAGAGTTGTGTCATTATCAAAAATAATGATGAGTATTTTCTTAGTATCAATATCTAGTTTGACATTTTAGTATTTCGTTTCAATTTGATCAGAAATTGTAAAATCTACTAATTTGAGCTCTATATCATGTTGTAATGTGGTTCCATCTTTAAAAATCACACCTGCAGCCTTGCATTGACACATTGATGCATGTCTGACAAATTCTGGAGTCTCCAGTGGCAACCAGTAAGTTATAGATCATTTCTGATAAGAACAATACATTTGTAAAAACTAAAGATTGTTGATCAGCTTTGAAATGATACTATGTGCATGAAATACGTATAATGTTTTTCATACATCTTTGGATGAAAGTCTTCTTAATCAGACATCCAAATGAGGTCATTCTGTTGTCATAGTGATGGTTGGGAGTTACTGTTTTGCCTCTCAGATGTTCGTAGTTTGATGTGATGTGATTTTAAAAATAAAATTAACATGTTGATAAGAAATTAAATTGCCTTATAATGCTTAGGAAATATAGAGTATATACCATTATTTAACGAATGTAAAAAATTAGATAAATCTTCATGGTGATGAACGGGACTCGCTTTTTGTCTCTGGCTCTCAGGTGTTTGTGGTTTGTCCTCTGAGCTCGACACTGATGAATTATCTGAACTTAAACAAAATGAACATGTTGGTGAGAAATAAATCTGCCTTATAGCGTTCAGGAAATAGAGATTATGCATCACATTAGAAGGAATATAAAAGATGAGATAAATCTCCATCTGCGTAACAGGAATGAATAAATAAAATCCTTACTTCTGATTGGCTGTGGCGTTTTCTGAAAGTTCCATATACCTGGGAATAATTTTAGTCAGTAAATCAAATCAAACCTGAGACATTAATGATGTGAAACTCAACAACAACAAAAACACTTTTTAATTAAAGTACCTGATCTCAGATATTTTTCTGAATACTAAACACCAATACAGATCAGGATCATCAGGACAACAACAACAATCAGAGGCCATCCTTTAGGAAGAAGATGAAATGTGTTTCAACAACAGAACAAAGCAAAAAATGAAGATGTGAGAATCTGAACATGAACTTACTGAAACCTCTGAGATATGATTGGTTATTCAGACCTGGTAAAAGAGATTCAAACATTTACAATCATAAATACATCATTAGTGACTAAATAAAAAACAAAGGAGTCTTAGAAAGTTCCTCACCATCATCAGACGTCTCAGTGAATCCAGGAACGATGACCAGCAGATCTCTGACAGCAGCAGAGTCCAGTGATACTGAACATCCAACCTGTGTGTTGCTGAGAGCTGAGAGCAGAGCTGTAGTGGTGACGGTGACGGTACCGTTAGTGTTGGTCTCTCTGCAGGTGTTGCTGTCAGAGAAACTGAAGTTCTGATGGAGAACAGTCAGTGTTACCATGGGAACAGGTTGACCTGTGGCTGAACAGGTGACCTCTGACCCTGGAGGAGATTCTGATCTGCTGACATCAATGAAGGGTCCATGCAGCTCTGTGGAGAGAACAGAGATCAGGATTAATATCTAGTTGTAGAAGTTAAATCTATGAAACTTTTCAGGTTCTCACCATAAACCTTCAGACATGTTGCAGCTGTCAGAGCTCCATCTTGGACTGTGAGGAACCGACACAGGTAACATCCTGCATCCTGCTCCGTAACATTCCTGATAACTATCGAGTTCTTCTGCAGTCCAGCTTCTGTAAACTGAACTTTATCTTTAAATCCATCATTCACTGTTTCACCAAAATACTCGCTGTAGGAACCAATATTCTTCTCTGCTTTCTCCAAGACCTTCTGCCAGGTGACCTGCTGGACGTCTTTAGTTTGCAGCAGATGACAGCTGAGAGGAGCATCTTCTCCTACTGCTGCCAACACCGTCTGCTGGGTTTGGATCAGAACTGCTAGACCTGCAGGACATAATCAAAGGAAATGGATCAGGATATCTTTATTTATATCATGTATCATTCCATAAGAGAGCTTTGATTTATTCTGTATGTTCTTAGGATGGAAAATTACAAGGACTGAGAAACAACCAAGTGTGTTGCAACTTAATATCAACAAGGAAACCAAATCAGTTTCACTTCTTTTTTTTCTCTGGTGGCCCCTAGTAAAACATTACGATGTGGAAATTAGTTTCTCAAAATACAGACGTGGAAATTTTATTGAAGGGCTGCCTACAAACAGATTTGTAATAATCTATTTACATATACTTGTTATTAGGACTTAATAAATGATCTGGTCGCTATCAGGTTCTCTAATGTACAAAGTCAGACCAAATGTCCCAATGTCATTAACTAAACATGGATATTAACTATTGCTGCTTCCATTGGATTTCTAGCAGTGAAGTCACTGTTGATAAAATGATTATAATTTTGAGAAAGCATTTTTATAAAAACAAAAACTTGGAACATTTTTGTCTGCATCAACAACATCTAGACCAACACCTGGTCATAATTTTAAGGTGGAAACTAAAAGAGAAATCTGCCTGAACAAGTCTGGGAAAGTCAATGAACTAAAGCTGTATTGAAATTTGATTGAAATACATTTTGTTCTCAATAATGCATAAGACCAGACATTAAAAGCCAATTCAGGTCTTTTTGGTAACAGTTGCAAAATGTAACCTGAAGAGAGACAGTCTCTACAGACACCTGCACAATGTGATCAGTGTTAATTAGTTGTTCAACAATTCTAGTGACTGTCCAAAAACTTAAGGCAACATCATCCCTAAGATGTGAAACACGTACAAAATTAATGCATGATCTTTTCAGAGGCTTGCTGCAAGAAATGTTACAAGACATAAATGTTCTCAAGATCTGAGTCCTAAAACCAAAGTCTAAGTCAAGTCTGAGTCTTTTATTTTGTGTGATTCAAGTCAAAATGCAGCTTCATTTGTTTCCATTGGAACCTCTATTGTGATTAAAACATGTATTTCTGGATCTATTATTAGTGTTGCATCCCAGTTCCTCCTGTGTGGTTTGGCAGTTGATGATCTCTTCACCTCTATAAGTTAGTAAAATACAGACACACCTAACCAGTAAATCTTTAACTGAACAGTGAACATGTGGCGTTCTCTATTGTGTATTTCTCTGCTGTAAATGTGATTAAAACATTGTTTTTCTCAACATCTTCTAACTTCTACCTACAGAAGGTAAACTAAACCAAGCAACATTATTATTCAATAGTAATAAACAGAAGTAGAGAAAAACCTAACTAATGTACAATGAACAAATTTCCTAATCAAAGATGTTTTTGTTTTTGTAAATATTAAACATTTGAAACTAAGACCCACAATTAGTTACTGTAATATTTACAGTAACTAAATACTGTTCATCTTTATAGATCAACTTTATCTATAAAGATGAACTTTGTAGATAAACTACAACAGTTCAGCAGATGGGAATTGAAGCCAGACTTTACATCAAATATTATTCAACAGGTAAAAAGTCTGCAGCAGTAAAACTAGTGGAAGTACATTTATTTAAAAAATTAATGCCATTGTAGGTAAAAGATGATTTTGCCATCAGTTAGAGCTGAAACTAAGGACGTTCATTCAGATCGGATCGCATTTATTTATGAACAAATGAGAAAACAATCAAAACAACCAAAAGCCACTTTGTGCACAAAAAGCTTGAGCAGTGTTTGTTTCTCTCACCTTTCTGAAATGATCCTCCGAGGGTAAAAAGACACAAAATTAAACACATTCCGTCCATGAGGCATCGCAACCTTCATATATATGAAGGCGGAAGAGAAACAAGAAACAACGTGGAGTGAGTAATCCTGGTTCGTGTTCTGCAACTCCGCCTCTCCTGCTGCAATGCGCGCTCCCGACACAGGGGGGAGCAGTTTTCACAGGGGAACTCATATTGATGAGAAAACGCACTGAAATAAGAGGAAACTTTGAAAGATATTCGTAACATCATCACGTTTCTTAATCATATAAGGCATGAAACGGTGGGTTTTGTTTCGTGGATTAATTGAAATAATAAGAGTTAAGAAATAACTTTTTCTACATAATCACATTGGTTCTGCTGTCATGTTGTGACACTATGACATTAACATTATAAAATTTTGCCAAGTGACAAAATCTATTCACAGATGACTTTTGATTATTTAAACCATATTATAGTTTTCTTTTGTAATTTTTTTGCTTTAACTCAGACCTTTTGTATTTGAACGCTAAAAATAAAACATGAATTGCGCTTAACATTTTTAATAGGATTTACCGTTTTTATTCTGCACTAATACAATATACTTTAATATTTAATCGTTTTGGCTTTTAACTGCATGAGCATTAATTGTCTTTAAAGCTTTTCTTTGCTACTCAAACATCTCATTATATTTAAAACCTTTTTACTTTTTTCTACTATTTTATCAATATGCATCTTCCATGTATATACATAAAGCCAGATACCCAAATATTTACTTTGATTAATTCCTCTTGCAATTTCCTTTTTACAAAAAAATTTTTTTTCCCCTCTTCCAAATAATACCATCATCTTATCTATATTACTAAAAATATAATTAATCATTATAATAAGTAACAAAGGACTAATTATACTAGCTTGGGGATTCCAGAAGGCAGAGGACTCTGATTTTTTTCACAGATATTTGTCTCATATTTCACTATACAGAGGGACAGCGTGGCAACAAGTAAGACAGTGAAAAACACCGATAGCTTCAGGGTCAGTTTCACCCTCACTTAAAATAGAATTTATTGCTTTACAAGAGAAAATATTGCATAAGATCTTCCAACGCCTCTACTTCAATTGATCTGGGCCACAAAACTTACGGCCCCAGTTGTTTATCAGGAACCAAGTTCAGGTTTTGAGTTCCCGCTGTCATGGTTATGGATGGGACTCGATGGTTTTGTCTCTGTTCTTCAGATGTTCGCAGGCCGAGATGTTTCTCCGAACCTAAAAAATTTAAAACAATTTTGAAACTGATGTTCTTTTAAAGTGCAGGAGACGTAGAGAGTTGATCACCTTAGTATGGAATGTAATGGAAACAACTATATCTGAGTCACTGAGGAATGAATGAATGAATGAATGAATGAAATCCTTACATCTCATTGTCTGTGTCAAGAACGAAATGTTTCAGAGGCATTAACTTGGTAGAACAACAACAAAATCATTGATTGAAGTGAAGTACCTGTTCTGATATCTCCTTCGGAGTCGACAAACAAATATACAGCAGCAGCATCAGGAATATAAAAGTCAGCGTCCATTCTTCAGGAAGATGAAATGTGTTTCAACAACAAAACAAAGAGAAAAATCATCATGTGGGAACCAGAGCATAAACTTACCTGGGACTTGTTTAGCCGACCCTGAAAAAAACAAATTGATTTAAATTTTTACAATCACAAAGGCGTAGTCAGTCGCTAACTAATAACCAAATGAGAGTATTAGGAAACTCCTGACTATCAATCAAAAATACATCATAAGTTACTAAACCAAAAACAAACAAGTCTTAGAAAGTTCCTCATCATTACCGGTGAATCCAGGAACGGTGACCAGCAGCACTCTGGGATCAGTAAAGTCCACTTCCACTGAACATCCAACCTGTGTGCTGCTGACAGCTGAGAGCAGAGCTGTGGTGGTGACGGTGCCGTTGGTGTTGGTCTTTGAGCTGGTGCTGTAGTGGGAGAAGAAGGTCATATACACAATCAGCGTCACAGTGGGAGCCGGCTGACCTGTGGCTGAACAGATCACACGTGACCCTGGGGGAATTTCTGATCTTCTGACAACAATGAAGGGTCCATGCAGCTCTGGGTGGAGAACAGAGATCAACGTTATCGTCTAGTTATTGAAGTTTAACTCCATGATCCTTTCAGGTTCTCACCATTAAACCTCAGACAGGTTTCAGCTGTCAGGTTTCCCAAAGGATAGGCGTTGAACAGGCAGAGATAACATCCGACATCCTGCTCTGTTACATTCTTGATGATGATGGAGTTGTTCTTAAGTCCACTGTGTGCAAACTGAACCTTATCTTTAAAGGGTGGATACACTTTTTGACCAGAAAAGATGCTGTAGGAGGAAACGTTGCGCGTCGTACTCCCCGTGACCTTCCGCCACACGACCTCCTGGACACAGTTAGTGCTCAGAAACTGACAGCTGAGTTGAGCATCATCTCCTGCTTTTGCTACCCAGGTGTGCTGGGTTTTGACCAGAGCTGTAATATCTGGAGGGAAAGCAAAGAAGATTCAGTCATCATATTATTGGCTGGTGAAACAGCATTTTCCCATTGTTTTCTGGAATTTAAGGCTTTTGTTTTTTTTTAACATTAGGCATTGTGTAACAGAAGTGATGTGTTCACACCTGTCACACTTTTCTTATGCTAAAACCAGAAAAATAAAAAAAGGGAACATCAACTATTAAGTCTCTGCACAATTCCTGAGCCAGATTTAAGTGAACTGCAGGTAAAACCTGCCCTTTAAGCGTCAGGATGGACCTGCACGGCAGTCATCACGCTGCAGCAGCAGTGGTGCAGTGCATGAACAGTGGTGCAGTGCATGAGCTCACCATTATGGAACAATCCTGCAAGCAGGAAGAAAACCAATCGGCTGCCATTCATCGCGTGTCATCGTCGCTTTTGCTCCCAAACATTGATTTTCAGCAACAGCGCGGCGCGATTCCGCCAGCAGAGGGAACCCGGGAACGAGCAGGAGCCTAACCATGGACACCACTCGTGTTGTTGTTTACGTGCGGATATTTCGCGCATGTGCACCAGCACAGAACAAAAGGAGACCTGGAGATGCGTTGATTTAGTGCAGAGGGTGTTTTTATTTCAGTAAAGAAATTCAATAGATACAAGAATCTGCAGAGCAAGTTTATTTTTGAGACGCTGCAGAGCAAACAGAATGTCCAACTTGAAAAGTTGAGTGAAATGTTAACTGCATGCAGGTGATTCTGCAAAAGCAAATGATAGCAGGTGATACAATAGATGTCCACAAGAAAAGCATTTTTAATGCACGTTTTGTATGAATTTGACAGACAATAAAAAGGCTCATAATTGTCATGTTTAAAGTGATATTCTGGATCACAGGATAGTTCATTTCCAGTGTATTTTTCCTGAGTTTAATCACATTCATCAATTTGTATTTCATAGTGCACTGGTAAACCATTTTCACATGCAACAGCAACATGCATTTTCTCGTGAAAAGTACCTTCATAGTTACAGCCATTTTTAAACAGTTTTCCAATGTCCTGGGTCTTACATAGAATGATGTCAAACTTCTCACTACTGCATGTGAAGGTTTTCATCTGATTGTTCTTATTTACAGTGTAGTTATATTTTGATTTACAGATGTCTTTGATTGATTGTTCGTCACCATATATGAATGTATTGATTGGCTTACATTCTTGTTGGTTATTTCTATTTATGAATATTTCACGTTTTTTAATTTCGTCTGTACATTTTTTATTATAAGTGTTGCCCGGTAAATCATTGTTTCCGATGATGTGCTTTTTTTTGAAGTCATCATAGGTTGGATTTCCTTTGATCTCCTTAAACACAGCAGCCATGCAGAGCAGAACAAAAGGCAAAAGAAGAAGGATGTTCCTCATCATCATCATTTCCTGATGAAGAAAAAAAAAACTTTTTATAATTTTCATATTTATACAGTTTGACTGTCAGGTGACTGAATGGAGTTGGAGAGTTAAGCATCTCAACAGAATCTGGTGATAGTAAAGTAGCTATTTTCCTCTTTGTCATTAGTTTTTCATTGCATATTCAGTATGCTTACTTAGAATAGACCATTATTCTAAGTACACTTTTTATTCTAAGTAAGCATAATAATTAAGCCAGGTAATTTTTATTATGCAATACCTCTACAGAAAAATAAACCCATTGCTTCATTCATAGATTATTTAACTGGTCTAATGACCTGATTAGGAACTACTATTACCAAACATGGTCTGTTGTTAATGAGTCAATATAAACACTTATTAGACAATCATGAGATAAAGTTAATAGATAAAGTTGATGTTGGAAATAACACTTCACAAAAAACAGAAAAAAATAGTCAAATACCAACAACAATTCTTTGTCAAGCAAAGTAAGCAGTGACTTAGACTATCAAGATATAGAAATAAGAAATCATTTTGCTACCTTTGTTCTCGTCCGTGTAAGGAATTGTTCTTCAAGTTGTTGGATGATCAGTTTTGCAAAAGCAGGATGGGGTTCTGAAACGCTCCAGATGCTGCAGGTCTTCTCAGATGGTGCAGCGTGCCGCGTGAAGCACTTTTTATACAGTTCAGATCTGGTGGGACAGGCAAATTCATCAGATTAATCAAGCAAGTTTATACCTTAGATCGCTCTTTGCTCGTTTTTCTGATTAAATTATGCAAAACATAACGAGTCAGACTTTAAAGACTTTCCTCTTCCTCGATGGTGCAATCTAATGTGATGCTTGATTTTCTTTTCAGACATTTAGCTGTTATTATGCAGGATAAATAACGTAAAATTAGAGGTTGTGCATTTCTGTATGGATTATGATGCGATAAAACATGACTCTTTTTCACTCATGGCTTCTTCCATGGTTTTCTACAGATGTACCTCTGCAAATAAAATTAGCCTAGTTTTAAGGTGGCAAATACAACAAGAGGCAAAAGAAGCATCGCTTTTAATTCATTTTTACTGATGTGTGCATCAGTTTTCTGCAAAGAGATACAAGTATGCAGAAGTAGCTTTAATTTCCTTTATGTGATTGTCAACTAACTACAGTAACAGTGACAACTGCACATCTGACTTATTTACCTATCATTTCATTTGACTCGTGATGATGTTCAGAGAAACTCCTTCACAATTTCTTTTATCTGACTCCCTATTTGCATAAACTGGACTGCATGTGTGTCGATGCAAATTATCTTCAGACTCTAAGAAGATATGAAAAACTAGTCTACCAATCCTCTGTTTTATCGTATGTAAATGAAGCATTCGTTACCAGCTGCAGATGTTGGTCGTGAAGCTTTGAGACTTCAGTGGTTTTCTTTGCTGAAAAATTGCATGAGACAGGAAACATTGACTAGGCCAAAGAAAAATACATAAATAAGTAACACTGGTCCTGGGAATGTGATTATGAACAACCAAAAGCACAACATCAATGTCATTTATTTATAATATTGTACTTTTAGGTTTGTTTGCAGAATTAAATTGACTTTATTCAGGGGAGGAACTTGTGGCAGAAAACATCTGAGGTGATGACATTTTGTCTTTAATAAAATCTAGGAATTACAAATGATTTATTTCAATTTAAACATGTAGAAGTGAGAACTATCAAGCCATTAGTTAGAATTATTATCCATGTAAATTAGTCTACAAATCTTTTGAATTCCTTGTTTGGAGTCAATAATGGCTCCAGATTGAGCAACAGCGCCCTCTGCTGTTTATGTAGAGATGTGAAAAAACCAACTCATCAGCAGAATAATTGAAATTTATTTTAAAATATTTCACTGCATCAAAACATATGAATAATACACTTGACATACACTTTATGACATCATAACATCCAGCAGGGGCATCTGCTCTTTGTACAATGAAGGAAACACATCAAGCACTTGACATTGATCTGTAAATGGGTAAAGTATCCTAAATGGAAACATAGAATAGAAATAGAAAAGAGCCTGGCTTGAACCTTTTATGTTACAGAAGATATTGGAGGTTGGTAAAAAAAAAAAAAGAAAGAAAAAAAAAGTCAGTTTCCAAAATTGTTTCTTTCTCTAACTACTCTATCTAAGTGATAAGGGGTTCTATTTTCACATAAAACTTTAATTTCTCTGTTATTTAAAGTGGTACCCCTGTAGCGACATTGGGGATAGCTGCTGTCTCCGACAATTTTACAGTCGACCATTTCACGAATGGTTGCCGTTCCTACCACCTGACCTGACCTACAAATGCTTCTCAAGTTTTTTTCATCAAAGAGGAACGTATTTGTTGCTCTGCACTCTTTAATTATCCTATTAATCTGTCTCATCTTCCACTTGCAATCCTCTGGACGCATTTCTTGAACAACATGTTTTTCAAAGAAATCCAGAGGTTTTGAGGGCTCTGCTCCGGACAGCAGCACCAGCAGAAAGACGGCCACCTGGATCTTCATGGTTACCTCTGGAAAGAAAAAAGAAAAGTTTGTCTTAGAGGCTTTGGAGCACAATGTAGGATCATTTCAAAAAAAATAAATGTGTTATCTTCCAAGTTTGAAATGTACTGAAAATATACCAACATGCAGTAATGCATTGGTGACTCTGTACTAAAAACTACATAAATTGCCTTGCAAAAGTATCAATTTCACTTATGCTTTCATCATTAGCAGAAATGTTTACATATTCCGAGGCTCTTTATATATTTATTTACTCACCAAAAAGCCCTAAAAGTGTGAGGTAGAAACTTCTTTCACTGCAACTACAGAGGCAGGTTTTTTGGGTTTCTGGCACCTCTGTATTTGTCGAGATTAAAATTTTTGGCATTTGGTTTCAGTAGCTAAATAAAATCCATTGAATTTTGTGAATGCAATATTCAAACATAGAACAAAGTTCAAAGGGTGCTAATATTTTTGCAAAGGTCTCCAGGTTTTGTGCTTCACTGCAGGGTTAATATCTGACTGCCTCGTCTGGAACTGTTTTATGAACAAGATAAAATACTCTTAAAAACGAGAGTTGATTGAAAGATTTGCAACAATAAGAACCTCTGACTTACTCAACTGATGGAAAAGCTTCGGTACTTGATTGGTCAACTTGTTGGTTGGGATGACAGGGTTTTTTTCTGTTGATCTTTCCTGAAAAAGTTCATATTTAGAGTGAATTTTATTGTTAATATGACACTTTAATACCAAAGACACAGGTTCATGTGTGTGTCTGTACATGCAGATACTTTAATGTCCCTTTCTATTGACAATTAGCAATACAAACTGTTATTATCAGAGAAAGTGTCACCCTGAGGTGATTCCTCACCAGTGCTGTTACATGTTCCTTCTGTTTTTCAGTTCATCACAGAAATTTAATATCGGACAAAAATAAGCTGATTAAATAAAAAGCAAATTTGTTATGTAGGTTCTAAATCCATCATTCTAAAAAGGAGTCACATAGTCCATAAAAACAATCATTACCAAACATGAGTAGAAATCAAACGGCTTCACTTTTCAGGTGATCACTTACGTTGGTCGGTTCAGTGAGAAGCTTCTGGAGATGCAGGTCAGATGATGTGGTTCAGTGAAATGAAGCCCATCAAATTTAATTTCCTTCCACCTTTTATGTTGTTCAATGCGCAAGAAAGTAAAGGAGGCGTTTCCTAACTAACCTATCCCCGTCTAATACTTTCAGAATTTTACCAAATAAAAAAATAACTCTCACTTTACTCTAAGCACTATGAATAGATAATTAGCTGAGACGAACTCTGATTGGTTATTTGAAGCCTTCGTAATGGATATTTATAATGCAACATGCAGATCATGATTGGTCACTAAATGATGTGCTGATCACTTGCTGTTTATCAAAGATCAAACTGTCATGCAGCTAAAACGGATGTGAAAATCAGGAACTGCTGCAGCTGTGATCTGAGATAAAGTGTTAAACAATAAATGGTTGTTTGAAGACGAGTCATACTGGTGTACAAGAATAAAAAGTTGAATTACCTTCAGCTAAATGAAAAACATTTTATCACTGTCATGGGAAGTGATAAAACCTGAACGCTGTAGTTCAAGTTTTATCACTTCCCACTTCTAATATGGAAGCTGGGATATCCAGTTGTAGATGAGGTGTTGACCTCTGATCTTTTGGCAATAGTGTAACAAATAAATTTAAAAAATCAAGTAGTAAAGTATTAAATTAATCCAGAAGATGTTAAGAAACAATACTGCTGTCTGAAACATTAAAATGGGGTCTGATTGAATTCTTTTCCTTCCCTCATAGCATCTCTGATCGTGTTTATTGTGACACAATAAAATTACAGTCAATTTTCTAATGCAAATGAAGCACAAAACATCACAAAACATTTGCGTTCAACTTTGCAGGTAAAAAAAAACTTCCCTATTAATTGAGCAGCTTTCTGAGAATGTGGACTGACTTCTAACAGGAGCAGCTTTGTGTTTTCACTTGTGGGGAGGAAAACGAGTTCATGCAGCAACCAAGAATATCAGCAGAGCAGGAAGGGCGAATGAATCTAAATTTGGGCATAACGACAAATCTTGGGTATTAAGTTGATCCCAAAGCACCTGAATGCAGCATCAACTGACATATACAATAATCAACAGAAGAGGGCGCTGTTGTTGTGGTGATAGTGATGAAAATAAGGGTAAAGTTTCCCCACTGTTAGGCTGATGATGGTCGAGCTTTGAAATTGTGAGCAAAGTTGGAGATGTGTCATAAAACATAGAAAATAATGATTCTTTTAAAACTAAAAGCAGAAATAGACCTTTGTCAAACATGTTTGGCTGCAGAATCTCTGTCTGCTGAGTCGTGTGAAAGTTTCCAGGTTTATAAAAAATATGCATGATGAGCAACACCAAACTAAACTGATATGAATATGAAGCAACCATTGACACTCTGTGTCCTGCTGCTCATATATTGTGGTTATGAAACAGGCAACAAATTTCCTTGAGTAACTAAACATTTGGTTCCTTTAGCAGCAATCATTCTTTTATTTTATTATCTGACACTGACTTTGGTGACTTAGTAGTTTTGAACTTTAAAGTGTAGTGAAGCTGGTTAAATGTGAAACAGTTTTTATGTAAATAGTCCTCTTCTTCCTGGAATCAAAGCCTCAAATCCCTCACTCTCCCCAACCTCTGGAAGAAGCTGATTGGCTGCAGCCTCTCTGTGCTGACATGTCAGGTCAGAGCACAAAGCAGTTTCTGTTTGCAGAAAAAGAAACTAACACAGTTACTGTGCCTGAGAAAGGAAATGGAGCAGCAGGGAGTTCAGCTGGACAGAGAAACATTCTCCTGTTCCATCTGTCTGGATCTACTGAAGGATCCAGTGACTATTCCCTGTGGACACAGCTACTGCATGAGCTGTATTACAAACTTTTGGGATGAAGGCGAGCAGAAGAGAAGCTACTACTGTCCTCAGTGCAGACAGACCTTCACAGAGAGACCCGTCCTGCAGAAGAACACCATGCTAGCAGCTTTAATGGATCAGCTGAAGAAGACTGGACTTCAAGCTGCTCCTGTTGACCACTGTTATGCTGGACCTGAAGATGTGGCCTGTGATGTCTGCACTGGGAGAAAACTGAAAGCCGTCAAGTCCTGTCTGGCCTGTCCGGCCTCTTACTGTGAGCAACACCTTCATCCTCATTATAATTCAATTCCTTTATAGAAACACAAGCTGGTGGAGCCGTCCAAGAACCTTCAGGAGAACATCTGCTCTAAGCATGGTGAGCTGATGAAGATGTTCTGTCAAACGGATCGGAAGTGTATCTGTTATCTCTGCCCTGCAGATGATCATAAAGGCCACAACACAGTATCAGCTGCAGTAGAAAGGACTGAGAGGGAGAAAGAGCTGCAGGGGAGACGAAATACCATCCAGCAAATGATTCAAGGCAAAGATGCAGATGTAAAGCAGCTTCAACGGGAGTCTGAGGCCATCAATCGCTCTGCTGATAAAACAGTGAAGGACTGTGAGAAGATCTTCACTGAGCTGATCCATCTCCTCCACAAAAGAAGCTCTGATGTGAAGCAGCAGATCAGATCCCAGCAGGAAACTGAAGTGAGTCGAGTCAAAGATCTTCAGGAGCTGGAGCAGGAGATCACTGAGCTGAAGAGGAAAGATGCTGAGCTGGAGCAGCTCTCAAACACAGTGGATCACACCCAGTTTCTACACAGCTACCCCTCACTATCAGCACTCAGTGAGACCAGTCATGTATCCATCATCAAGGTCCGTCCTCTGAGACACTTTGAGGAAGTGACAGAAGCTGTGACAAAGCTTGGAGATAAACTGAAGGACATCCTGAAAGACTCATGGACAAACATCTCACTGTTGGTAACTGATGTGAATGTTTTACTGTCAGAACCGGAACTAGAACCGAAGAGCAGAGATGGATTCTTAAAATATTCATGTCAAATCATTCTGGATCCAAACACAGAAAATGATAACCTGTTGCTGTCAGAGGGGAACAGGAAAGTGACAGGAACTGCTCATAATCAGTCTCAGCCTAGTTATCAGCAATATCCTAATCAGCAATATTCTAATCAGCGTTATCCTAATCAGGTTCATCCTAATCAAACAGACACATTCACAGGATGGTGTCAGTTTGTGAGTAGAGAAAGTCTGAATGATCGTTGTTACTGGGAAGTGGAATGGAGCGGACAACAGGTTTATGTCGCAGTCTCATACAAGAATATTAAGAGAGTAGGAAGTGGAAATAGTGGCAATTCATGGGCACTAGAGTGTTCCCAAAACAGTTTTGCATTTGTTGACAACGGATGGACGACCCTCTCAGGTCCAGTTTCCTCCAGAGTAGGAGTGACCTGGATCGCGGAGCAGGTCTTCTGTTCTTCTACAGTGTCTCTGAAACCATGACTCTCCTCCACAGAGTTCAGACCAGATTCACTGAGCCGCTACATGCTGGAGTTTATGTTTGCAATACTGGAGGTTCTGCAAAGTTCTTTAAACCAAAGTAAATTTTTCCTTTGATTGTTGTTCAGGGTTTATCACTCTGATCTCTCTGCTCTGTTGTTCTGTTCATCTGTATTTTTTCTGATTGCTACACACGTCTTTTAGTTCCAAGACTGATAGATTTTGTTTATAAAATTTATGACTATACAATTTATTCTGATTATGTTTTCTTTCATTCTCATGACACTGAAATATTTCTCCCCATGAACTATCTCAATAATAGCTTTCCATTAATATTTGTATTGTTGCAGTTTCATTATTTTTGCTCTTGTTTGGATCAGTTTAGATTGAAGTGAACTAATAATGCTTTTGTTTTCGTTCTTGTACTCCAAAGAAGAAACAGAAACTGACATCAACGAAGAACTGATTCTATTTTCTTATCAGAAAATCATTGTTGGCTGTTCCGTCTCTTTGCCTTTCTTCAATAAAACAACTTGATTACAGAGAAATTTGGAAATGTTTTATTTCATCATTCTAATAAATTGAACATTTTGTCATGTAAGGTGTAGAAGTGACACACCTTCAGAGTGTGTCATTTGACACTAGTTTCACTTTCATTCATCAAGGACTTTGCAACAGCTGCAGAGAGACTGCAGAAAGAAAGCATTTAATACAAGAACTGATCGGCTAACCTGTCAAAATAAATATCAATTCAATTAGTGATTTTAATCCATCAATATGATTTTGTTCATAATTTGTGAAGATATCAAGTCAGATTAAATATTTGATCTCTGTGAAGTTGTGATGTGGAAACAAGAGCTTTTGAGAATAAACTAAGTCAATATTTAAGTCTCGATTGTAAATGAGGAGACAAAGGTTAGATTTCCACCTTCACTCCCTTTTCTGCAGGCTGTAAAAACTGGATAACCTTCCACCTTCTTCCTTATTGTTTAACACTCCAGGAGACGCTCTGGAGCAACTAATAAAATTGGATTACAAGTAAAAGAATAATCATATTTCAAATGATTACATTTGAATGTGTTTGAAATTAAGTTGTACTTTTAGTTACATTAACCTCATTGGTAAATTTAACTGTTTTCATTCTTACAGACATCAAGCCTCTGGCATACATGACTTAATATTGTCTTTGCATAAATGAATATAGATTATTGTCATACAACCAGTCAATTGTTTTTATTTTAATTATTTGTTATGAGAGGTTTGAGGAACCTCACAGGTACATCCTTATTTGGTAGCGTGTGAAAACCACAACAAATGTATTGGTTTGTTAGAAACCTTCCTCAGAGTCTTGGACATATTTAATGAGCAGAAAGAGGATAAATGAAGGGATGTCTAGCTGCTGAAGTCACAACTCACTGACTGTACATCGGAGATGAAACGGAGGAACATCAACAAAGGTTGGAAGGAGAAACACACGTTCATCGTTGCAGACGAGGAAGACATTGCAACCGGATGTAGGGATCAGGGAGAATATATGATTGAGAATCATTCACAATTGTTCGAAAACACAATTGTGTCTCAATTATGTCTCAGTAAAAGTAAAATCTACAGTTTCTGAAATTATGTCTCAGTAAAAGTAAAATCTACAGTTTCTGAAATTCAAGAGTTCGTAATCCAAACAAAAACCCCTCGGTCGGTCGCTGGTCGGTTAAAATAAACAATAACAATAAACAATAAAATAAACAATAAAAAAAGGTCCATGTCAGTACGCAGGACAGCAGGGCACTACAAGAATTCTGATGAATTGCAAAACCTTACCTGTGCACTATGGGAAAGACATTTTGACATTTGAAGGATAATGGTTTTCCAGTGATAATGTTTCACATTTGTTTATAATATTAAAAAAAAAAAAAAGAAAAAAAATTTCCCATTTTTATACTGCTGAAGAAGATTCTCATTATTCCCCTTCCAAAAAAATATTACCAGCAGTTTCAGCCCCATGAAGCTCTTCCATTATCTGTGGTGACAATTGACTGCAGTCAGGTTCAGATCAAACTGCAAAGATTAGAAAATGACACTAGAATAGTGAGTCTCACTAACTGCACGCTGTACAGAGAGCAAGTGGAGCAGCTGCGCTAACTATGACACTGCAAAAACAGCTGCTCTGTAAATGTGATGATGATTTTGAAGTCGAGATAAAACCCCCACCGCAGCACATGCAAAATAAACCAGAAACTATCATTGAATAATTTAAGTATTTAGATCTGATTTCAATGTAAGCACAATAAAACACAAGTTTACTTTTAAATGCTTTATTCATTGAACAATATATGTTGAAAAGCTGCAACTGCGCAGTATGATTATGCTTTAATGCAATGATACAGAAATAACTACAATGCTAAAAACAAAAAAGTCATGCGACATGAATGAAACTAGAGAAAGAAGTTAAAAAAAGCTTGATGCTTGATTATTAAAATCTGCTTTTTGGCTATTGAGTTGAAGATGTGAAAAGCTGCAGAGAGAAATTATCCTTTCTTAGGTTTGATCTTATCTTTGGTCTTCGGTTTGAATTTGAATTGCCGGACGAAATGCACAGGTAAATCACCTTTACAATCTACTTCAACATGCAGGTCAGTTTTTTTGCCCTCGTAGATGTCGTCATGTAAAAGCGTACACAGAATAAGGTTGAAATATCGTGTACTTGGTGTTGTACCAGATTTACCCTGACAAATGGCTCTAACCTCATTTTCAGCAGCGATTATGAATGTATTCTTGTCCTTCGGTTTGCCATCTTTATCTGTTATTTGTCTCTCCCTTATGACTTTTTCGCAGTCGTCTGCATTCATAGCATCAATAACATGCTGTTTTAGAAAGCTTTGGTAACGTTTAGTTGGACTGGGGTGGTCATCTGGATTGCGGCGTTTATCTGGCTTCACGGCGATGACCAGGACCAGCAGCGAACAGACAACCAGGCAAACAGGAAGGATGCGCATCGTTACTGAAAGAAGAATAGAAACATTATATTTAATGTTAGTTTCAAACAGACTGTGTTTAAGATGATGTACTTCTATTAATCAGACGAAGGTATGAAAATAATAGGGATGTAATGAAAATAACTGCACACAAACTCAAAACTTCCTACATAATGAAACACATCAGGTCCATAGTTTGTTCTGTCAGATGCAGAAACATCATTTCCTGTTTTATCACTAGTTGACGTCCTGCAGATTCCTTGTGCTTTTCATGTTGAGATGTTTATCACATCTGACTTCAAACTAAATAAAATTGAATGTTGAAAAAAGGTGGCCATGAAGAGTGAATGCAAGTTTGTTCTTTTAGCTAATCAAAATGCAAAGATATTTTTATAGCAACATTTTTAGACCATTTCAGTACCAAAATCTTTGTGACATGAAAAATTTACATCAAAGTTACTTACTGCTCTTTTTTCCTCTTTGATAGACTCAGATGTGGTAAACAGGTTCTCTCCAACAGAACTTATCTGTAAAATAAAATTGTGGGAGTTTAAACTGGAATAATCACAAATGGGTAATAGCTGACTTTAATTTTTAATTTTGGAAAAATGTGAATTATTCCTACTTACCACTTTGGAGAATAAAGTCGATGTTAACAGCTGAGCAGGAACCAAAATGAGGAAAGATGTTCAAAGTGAAGTTTGGCGAAGTTACCCCAAGGTTTACCGAGACGTCCTTTAATAATCAACAAACTGAAGGAGGAGTTTTGTCACTAACCTATCCACATCTGAGGCTTTAAATTAAATACCATATAAAGAAATATCTAAGACCACACAGCATATCAATAGCTTGAATAACTGAGTGATTGGTCGATTTTACTCAGAGGTACAGTGACGTTAAACTTTTTGGAAAAAAATATTTTTAGTAGTAGTGTCTCTACGCTGTACTTTTACTTAACTAATATTTTTTAAAGTATTTTTTTCGAGTGAAACTTCTGGATTTTCTACCCGAGCAACTGAGGAAAAAAAATGCATGTAATACAGACCCACACTGAGACTCTTTATGCACAAACAGAATTATTGTAACTGGCACTATAAGTACTTTACCCTGTTCTAATGTATGTTTGCATTAGACTGATAGACTGGGATTTTTTCTTGAAAAAAAAAGAAAAAAAATCTATGCCTGACTTTAATTTTTTTAATCATGCAATTTATGTTTTTCATTGATATCTATAAGAAAGTTTTGCATAACTTTACAGTTTCTGTATGAAGGCATTTTAAAATATTAAGTCAGGTGATCCAATCAGTTTATCAGTTTCTCAGTACTTGAATGACCACTTTATTTTTTATAACTTTTACTTGTAAAAATTATAAAAAATACATTGTTGGGGCAGTCTGTCCATTTCTGATTATACTCATTGTGGAGTAAACATTTAAAACAGAACTGGTCAAATGTCACGTAGCGTGCCAACACGGCTAGAAAAAACACTGACATCTCGCAGCTTTTCCGAGAAGAAACCAAGAAACGCTTTAACAAGAACGAGAGGTGTGATCTCAGTGTATAGTCAGAGTGATGCAGCTCGATTCATGAACAGTTCTCTAAACAGAACCCAACATCTGCAACCTTTTATAAAATTGTGCTTGCATCAAAAAAGTGATAGAAATTCTATTGATCTTTTCCTTCATTTATGTCTTTAACACCATTAAAGACAAAGACAATTTTCAATTATGAAAAAAAAGTAATCAAGACATTTAGAACAGTCAAAAAGGCAACTTTATTTTTTTTTCTCCTTAATAGCACTGAAACAATTTAAGTATGCAACGATCTCTAAAGCCCAATCATCTTTGAGCGTGTGATTGTCAAAACATTTGTGCTCTGGACAAGTGTAAAAGTGCAGAAACACCAGATGCACATCATTCTTTTCAACCTTTGCAGCCACATCCTCACTTTCCTCTTGAAGGTAGAGATAACAGACCCCCTTCCAGTGGACCAACACTTTGCACAGCATCTAACCCCAACATTTACTATCATTTAACTACTAAACACTTGTAGTTATAGATAGAAACATAATCACTCCAACATTCAAGACCTCTCCCCAGTTTGAAAGCAAGAAAGAAGACATGTTGGCAGCCAGTTCCTCCTGACCCGCTCCTGTACAGGTTGAGGGCGACTGAACTGACCTGTATCCACGTTTGGACTGGACCGTGGAGGCTTTTTCATTCCTGCTCCGCTCAACAGGAATGGAGGAATCAGCAAAGAGCGATCAAAGTCCTGATCCTGCTGTGGCTGGGCAGAAAGGCTGGTTTCTAGTGGCGTCCCTGGGCAGCATGGCTGACTGACCTCACTGCTCTGAAGGCGTGAAGGATGCAGAGGAGAGAAGCCATCACAGGTGGAGCTGTGAGGACACAGAAGATAGAGTTCAAACCTTGAATTATATTTACTGAGGCTTCCTAATCAATTTACCTGCTGAATGACGTCTGAAGGGAAGAGGAAGAGGAAAGAGGAGCAGTATCCTGGCCGGTTGAGTTTTTGTGGACTCTCCATGACAACATAATCATCCTGAGGTAACTCAGACAAGCTGTGGCCGACAGTCGGGGACATCAGCATGTATCCGAGCTCTTCTTCCTTCTCAGCCGACTCCCAGCTCTGCATGGTGCGGCTTGTGGTTTCCGGCGCCGGGCTCTGCTGGCACCCAGCTGGGCTCTGCTGGCACCCAGCTGGGCTCTGGTGTGAGGTGAAGCTCAGAGAGGATTCAGACTTTGTGTCGTCTGGGTTTTGAGCTCTTCTGTGACACCGTGCAGGACTAGTTTGGCCCTCAGAGTTTCTGGGATGAAGAACCCGAGGTGTCAGAGTTCTCACATAAGCCGGCTTGTCTCTCTGTTTGGGCCTGCAGCGCTTTGAGGCCAGAAGGCCCGGCTGCTGATTGGGACTGGATGTTAGAGATCTGCTGAAGTCTGGAAGAGCTCGTAGGGATCTCACGGTCTCCCGAACCGACTCGTGGATGTGTTGGGCCAGAACTGGTTTTCCTGAGCCAACCAATCAGAAAAACCAAAGTCAAAAAGTTTCATTTAAAGCAGAACTTTTCAATGTTGCGCCGAATTACCTTCCTCTCGAGCCTCCATCCAGATTTCTCCAGGACCATGAGGCGCCGACCTGCCCAGCTCCAAAAAGAAAAAGCCATCCAGGTGTCCAAAGCGCCGAACACTCAGCAAGGGTATCGTAACTGACGGCAAGTCATTACTGGACCCCCGCCGGACCAGAACGAGTGTCGATGCTGTGAGGCAGAGTCGGTTCTCCCCTGTGAACGGTTTGGAGGAGCCCAGTCCTCGGGGCTTCACCATGACGGGCCAAACCTTAGACAAAGACGAAAGCAGCAAGAGCCAAATGACGCAGCGACAGACCAAAAGTAGAAGAAGAGACTCTCTTCAGTGAATAGATGTAGAACTGTGTCACAAATGTGGGTTTGATGGATTTCAGTTGTTGATTATGTGACTTGGATGATGTGGAAAAAGTGTTTCCATTGCAGCTTTGCAAAATACACACATTTCAATATGATAAAAGAAAAAATCATTTAAAAAACACTACCGTGTCCTAGCAGCTAAACTATTCATTGAGAAAGAGATGGGTCTCATTTAGCAAATTTAAAATAAAAATGTTGATCATTTCAGTCTTAGTCTGTTTTTCCAAACCTGGAATCAGGATAATTAAACCCAGACTTTTCCGAACTCTGCAGCATTCCGGCTTTCGCCTGGACAGTTCAAGGTAAAACATCCCATCCTACCTCTTTGAAGAACGCTGCAGGCGGCAGAGTGCAATACCCGTCATCGTCTTCATCAAACCCTTCCTCATGCTCCTCATCTCTCTGCTCTTCCTCCAACAGCCTCTTTATGGCCAGGTACCAATCCTCCTGCTCCTGCTGCTCCTCCATCACCAGCACCAGACTCTGATCCTTGTCATACAGTGCCACCGTGTGGCCTTTTCCGGAACTGCCACTCCGACTCACACCAAGGCAGCAACGCAGGTAAATGACCCTGAGAGGGAAGATTTTGATGAATTTTAGTCACATCCGACAGAAATGCGACCACAAGAAGTTCAAATACAGAAATTGAAGCTTGTAGCAATAATGTGATAGTGCTCTCCTGTTGCAGTTATTCCCTCCTACCCTTTCTTGCTGGTTCCAAGCAGAGCGGCCTTCCCAGCCGACTTCTCCATTGCAGTGAACTTCTCCTGGTTCTTGTACCACTCCAGTCTGCTCAGACCAGTGTGACTTCCCGTTCGCAGGACGAAATACCTCCTGTGGCTCAGCTCCATCTTCCCCAGATAACCTTCTTTCACCACGCCACCCTGCGGCCCTGAGGCGGCCATTAAAGCGTCCGCCAGGGGCCAGCGGTACTGGGGCCTCTCTGGTGCAGAACAGCTCCTCAAAGCAGCGGGATGAAGGCGATTCGTTTGCGTCCTCGTCTCCATCCTGCTCTGTGTGACGATTCTTCAGGTGAAACTGCGAAGGAGAGTCACCTGCGCGGGCGAGGCTGCAGTGATGCGACGACTGAGGGGTGCATGGAGGCTCGACTAATCCCTCTTTGACAGAACCGTCATGCCCCTCCGCCATTTTACTATGATTAAAGTCTGCAACATAAAGACAGAGGAATTAAAACTTTAATTAAAAGGAGGGTTATTTTGCAACACAATGAAGTCTCGCATTTGATGCTTTGCTGAAATTCATATATTTTAAAGGAAATGGTGACATCATTTGGCATTGTGAAATTTCACCAGAAAAAAAATCTCTTGAAACTTTGATCAAAAATATTTATTTAAAAATGAATAATATTTTTGGATTATTTATGTTTATAGAGTGCAACATCTTTATAGAAAGAAATAAGTATTTTTTTAAATTACTGCCAATATCAGATACTGAAATGAGTCAGTGATTGTGACTCATTTATTTTGATACTATATTCAACTTGGCATCAATTAGTTCCTAAATTGCATAAAACAGCACATAAAAATATAAATGACTGAAATGCAAAACATTCAACTTAATATGAATATGAAAAGTTAATAAATTGAAATGAATATAAGTTGCAAAACATACAAGTTGCTGAATAAATACAATGTTTCAATAATATTTGATTTATTTAGATAGTTTGTTTTGTCAGTCTTTGTGCGTCATGTTAAACAGCTTTGTGGCGTTTTTTTTTCACGTCACAGTAATATTTTAAACTCACCTGAACGTGGAAGACGTCACCATGACGCGTGGAAACTCTGAACCCAGTCAAACGTTTTCACGTTTTGTGGTTTTGTGGTTTCTTTTCTCTCACAAACAGCAGAAAATCCCAAGCGGAAATGATTTGTTCGGGTTTTCGGGAGCCGCTCAGATTCCGACTGTCACAGGTGCGACAGGTGGCAATCAATGCGACCTTCAGGAGCGCCTCGTAAAAACGACACTTCGCCTGAGAAACGGATAATTCAGGTATTTAACCTGTTAAAATTTAACTGATTTAAAGCTCTATGACAGTAGCAATTGAGTTTTACATTTTTAAACCTCCAAGCTTTAATATTTAAATCCAGGAGAAAAGCCTGACGTAGCTTGAGTTAAGCATCTGCTGCCTTCTCCGCCTGTTGAGAGACGTTCGCGGACTTCAGGAAATTCTGAAATGCAAAACACGGATCAACGCAGCAAGGTATGCTTAAAAAAGTATCAGATGAGCCACAGTGCTTTTCCTGCCTCTGTATTTATTTTCAGACAGTTTTTATTCAAAAATAAGCTGAACAAGTTTGCAGCCGGTAAACTGAGTTTCAGCCTGAAACTGAAGAAGATGAAGTTTCATATTCCTCAAGAAGCACAAACACATTCAGATCTTCAGCCTCAAGCTGATTTTTTCAGCCTGATTCATCTCTTCTTTTTTTTTTTTATCGACACCAAACAGCTTCTATGTTCGTACTGACGGAAAGCTTCCCCACAGCATAACGGTGTCACCACCATGTGCCCCCATTCTGTGATACTTTCCAACCACATCAAGCATTTTGAATGGAGGTTGAATTAGTCATCTGACTAAAGTGCTTTTTGCTGTGTCTCCTTCGTGAACTGTAGGTTTCTTTAACCTTAAAACAGATTGCCCCATACATCTTAGATTGTAATTTTTTTTTAAAAAAGATGTGTAACTTTTCCTCCTCCTTTTTCCAGGATGTTGGCCCATCGCCTACCGTTTGTTTTTGCAGTTAAGTTCACATCAACACGAAATCTCATGTGGCGAACATGACGAAAGTGACCGCATGTAACAGACAGAAGGAAGTGGGGCCATAACAATGTCAGCAACTGTTATGAAATACGCACAACGGTGTGCGGAAGAAGTTTAGTTCCTGCATGTTTCCAGATTAACAGGCTGTCAGCCGCCTCCGTCGGATCAGATCTTCCCAGCAGCAGTTGTTGATTTATTTTCTGCTCCTGTCTCCCGTCATGGCCCTGCTCCACAGGGTCCTGTCGCAGCTTCTCAGCTGGTCTGGGGTCAGCTTCCTCCTGCAGCTGATGGGGGCCGCGCTGCTGGTTGCGGTGGGAGTCTGGACGGCGAGGCTGCTGGTGCGTCACGCCTGGTACACCCACAGGCTGTCCTGCTTCAACAAGCCGCAGACGCATTCATGGCTGATTGGTCACCTCGGTCAGGTAAGGCTCAAAATCCAGCCCTCAACATTCGGCATGACTTGAAAAACCAAAAAGATTAAATAAACATGTAAATATCTCAGATGCAGAGTACAGAGGAAGGTCTCCAACAGGTGGATGAACTGGTGCAGACCTTCAAGCACTCCTGCTCCTGGTTCCTGGGGCCTTTTTACCACCTGGTCAGAGTCTTTCATCCTGACTACGTGAAGCCCCTGCTGATGGCGCCTGGTACGAACAAAACACAAGAGGTGATTTCACAATACCCAAAAAGCTCACACTGATATTTTGACTCCATCTTGAAGCCGACATCACGATGAAGGATGAGTTTATCTACGGGCATCTGCGACCCTGGCTGGGTGAGTCAGACATGTTGTGTTAACTCATGAAGACACTGAGTACACTGTAAAACCTGATTAGATCTAATCACTGAAGAAATACTTTGTACATCACAAATGTTTAGTTTTAATTAGATTAACTGATTAAAGTTTAATCGACTAAAGGCAATCTTTAGTCGATTAAATTCACTCATCTTTTTCAGTTAAATATTTTTCAATGAGCAGTGTATGAATATGAAGTGAAGTTAAATTAGCATATAATTTTTGACCTGATTTCATTTTTTACAGGTCACAGTTTGCTGATAAGTAACGGAGAGGAGTGGTCTCGCAAGAGGCGACTGCTGACCCCGGCTTTCCATTTCGACATCCTCAGAAACTACGTCCTGACGTTTAACTCTTCGACCAACACCATGCATGTAAGGCGCAAACTCTGAGACGTGCATTTGCTGTTTGAGTTAAAGAAAAAAACACCATTAACATGTTTAGACAAAACTTTATATTGGGGTGAAATGATGAATTGAATTAATTGGTTTAATTGTCAACTAATTTAGTAATCAATTAATTGTTAATTGGAGCATACAAGCTGGAAAAAAGGGGACATTTGTTGAAAGACCAATACACTCAGAGCACCTTTTCCATGTTTTCTCATGTCCAGAATAAATGGCGCCGCCTGGTGGCAGGAGGAACAACCAACATAGAGATGTTTGACCATGTCACCCTCATGACACTGGACAGCTTATTAAAATGTGCCTTCAGCTACCAGAGCAACTGTCAGGAGTGAGGACTTAACTGCTTCACCCCAAATTTCTCACCTCTGCTCTGGATTTCTGCTTTAATGCAGCACATGTTTGTCTCCAGGTCCACCAGCGAGTACGTGTCCGCCATCGTGGAGCTCAGCGACCTGGTGATAGATCGCCGCCTTCGCATTTTGCACCACTGGGACTGGATCTACTGGAAAACTGAGCAGGGAAAGAGATTCAAGCGAGCATTGAGTGTGGTACACAGGTAGTGTGTCACTCATCTAGTAGGAAGGAGAACATTTTGAAAATTACACCAGATGACAACTTCAGTCACCGTGTGTTTCCACAAACCCTTACACATAAACTTATTTACATATTTTCTGTGCATAACTGCATGCTGACCTTGCAGGTTCACCAGGGATGTTGTGCAGAAGCGTCGTGCTCTCATTGACCAGCAGAGGGAGACAGAGACGCTAAGCAGCATGACTGCAGCGCCACAGAGAAAGAAAGATTTCGTGGACCTCATTCTGCTGTCAAAGGTGAGCACTGGACGGACTATAAAACGAAATATGACAAATTAAACTCCAAGAAAAATAAAAAAAATAATTTCTATGAACACAGGATGAAGACGGACAAGGACTCACAGATGAGGAGATTCAGGCGGAAGCCAACACTTTCATGTTTGCAGGTGAGACGGTGTTTTGGCTAAACACCGCCCTCTGCTGCCAAAAATGTGAACTGCAACTATACAGCTCGAAACAGACTAAACTGATTAATTTAAATCTTTTCCATACGGATAATTATTTTACCACTTGTATCTCTACGTTTACATCTGGTCTTATTTTTTAAAGTATTTTGGATCAAATTATACTTAAATGCTGAGAAACACAGCATTTAAGTATGCTGTGTTTAAGTATGCTGTGTTTCTCAGCAATTCACCTTGCAGCCAGTTGGAGCATAAGTCTGCAGAATATTAGGAGAACATGCAATGAAGATATGACTTGTGATGACTAAAAACAAAAATCAATTAATCACCTTTCTCACAGGACATGATACGACAGCTAGCGCAATTTGCTGGACGCTGTACAATTTAGCTCGCCATCCCCACTATCAGGAGCAATGCAGGCAGGAAGTGATGGAGCTGATGCAGGGGCGAGATGGACATGAAATACAGTGGTTAGAAGATGCGCGCACGCACACACACACACACACACACACACACACACACACACACACACACACTCACTCCGTTGTGGAAAAGTAAAGTTTTTTCTTAACGTTTTGTCCGATAACCGGACCCAGGAGTCACATTCCTGATGAACAACAATGTGTTATTTGTGCAGTAGAATGACCTAGTCAAAGTTCAGACTTGAAAATTGACTTGCCTTATAGCCAGCCTGACTATGTCTGAGCCATTTTAGTCAGTGTGCAAACCCAAAGATTTGCAGGTGGAGTAAACAAAACAAACACCCTGAAATTTATGGGTGTAAAGTAACAAAATGTGAACAATGTCAAAAGGTAAAAATACTTTTCCAAGCTGCAGTTGTTTGTTACACTGACACACCTTTTAATTCGAAGGGAGGACCTGTCCAACTTACCTTTCACTACTATGTGCATCAAAGAGAGCCTCAGGCTGCACTCGCCTGTCCAGGCTGTAACCAGGAAGTACACCCAGGATGTGGCGTTGCCAGGAGAACTCACCGTACCACAGGGTGAGAAGCTGGGCCTTCTGGGAGTTTTTTATGATAAATACAGGATTTTACTTTACTTTGTCTTACTTTATTTTACTTTAGGCTGTAGCAAAAGCTTTCGCATCCTCCTTGTGACAACTCTATCTTAAGAAGTGAAATCTGTTTTTCCCCTAAGGTGTAATCTGCTTGGTCAGTCTTTACGGGACACACCACAACCCCGAAGTCTGGACAAACCCACATGTGAGAAAATTTCAATAAATATCCCCTCAAAATAGTTTGACATTTGTTTAAATTTGACACTTTTTAATGTGCTTCAAAGGAGTTCGATCCCCTTCGCTTTGAGCCGAGCAACGCACAGAGTCGCTCCTCTCACGGCTTCATCCCGTTCTCCTCCGGACCCAGGTTCAGTTTTTTTTTTTCTCCTGAAGAAAACAAGAATTTATCTATCAGTGGTGAATTTAATCCGTGTCTGCTCGCAGGAACTGCATCGGTCAGAAATTTGCCATGGCTGAGCTTCGGGTTGTCGTGGCGCTGACCCTGCTGAGGTTTCGTTTGACCCCGGGGGTCAACCCTGAGGCAGGGAGCGGCTCCGGGAAGCCACGGCGTTTACCCCAACTCGTCCTGCGCGCCGAGGGAGGCCTGTGGCTGCAGCTGGACGCCCTCAGTGAATCAAGCTTTTGGCAAATAAATGATTTGTAAAATGCAAAAACACGATATAAGATTGAACATTGCATTTTAACCAAGGCTCTGCTTCACCCTGTTTTAAGATGTGTTTCATTGTGTGTGTGTTCTTTTCCCCAAATTGCTAATAAATATTAATGACATTGTAAATGCAAGATTTAAAACACAATTTAATTTATTTAACAAATACAGGAATGGCTTTTTCATACATGTAATCGTTTAGATAATAAAAAAATGTGTTAAGCTATTTTGTATTAACTGTGCAAGGATTATACATGTTAATAAATTAGCTCCACATTTAGTAAAATTTTGTGAATTACTTAAATAATTGAATTTAAACGCGACACTTTTATTTATTTAAAATAAATAAACCTGCTTCATTGTGTTTTGGTCAGAAGCTGCTGCAGTACCAAACTCTGGACACTGGGGGGCGGAAGACTTCCGCTTCAGACTTTGAATACAGTTTAAATTCAACAAACTCGACTCAACTTTAATAAAAACAAAGCTACAGACTATACAATGAACGCCAACTAGCAGAATATGAAACAATAAGAGTCAGTTTGATAAAAATATTTTTAAACATGTCTCGGAGGCGGAGTCATGTCACAATTATACTTTCACTTTCCGGCGTTTCGAAACTGGCAGTCACTCCGGGCCTCCGACTGAAAACCCTGCTTTACGTTAATTCAGGGTTTTTAAAAATGCCTTTAATCTCAGTTTGACGTCGCTGGACATGTTTCTTTGAGTCACAGACGGAAGCAACCCATTTCCTCGTTCATAACCTCCTCAGACCATCGCCATGATCTCTTCGTCTCCAGTCAAAACTCTTCCAGGCCCCGGATGGATTCTTCTTCTTCCTTTTCTTCTTCTTCTTCTGTCCGCGGCCCCTGTGTCCTCAGGTGAGTCCAGATCCTCCACCTGAATCTGCTGCGACCTAATAAACTTCATTCTGGCTCTTTTTCAGTGAGTGTGCGCCTAGTTTAAAACTGCATTGCCCCACCCAGTTATTGCTGCAGGTTATACATGAACATTTTTCATGATCTGAACCAATTTTGCCTGTTTTAAAAGAAATATTACATCTACATTGCAGTAAAAGTTGTGTTTACTCCCTAACTAACTCCCTCTTCATGCAAGTGAACAAGGAAATGAATGTGTTGTCATTGTGGTTAGTGGTACTGTGTGTCTGTTATTGTCCAGAAATCCCCTCTGATTCCAGTTATTTTCACAGTGAGATGACTGTGGTGGTGTGAGGTAAAGTGACACACCACCCCTCCCACACCTATTGCTGGGCCAGTTAGATGTCTTTCTTTGCTTATAACTTAGACAAATGAAGGTGTCTGGAGTAATGACAAAAGTAATAGTTTGGTGATGCGTCTTATACTGTTCCAAAGCCTGTGTTTTGTTTTGCTCTGAGAAAATTGTGTTTTAGGTTCAAGCAGCAGAGGAGGGTCAGTAGATGGCCACTATTATGAGTCAGGTCTTCAATTTCATTGGTCCTTGAGATTTGCACAACAAACCAGTGTCACTGGAGAAAACTTCCTCCTCGGCTATCTCAATTAAATCTATCTATGCTAATCCTAGAACGTTTTGTAAGTAAAACACTTAAATTAAGAGACCGTTTTGGGCTGAATTAGTCTGAGGAAGAACTGAATGTGTGTCTCGCTTTAAAATGAAATCACTGATATAAATTCACACTGCTGCTGTTTTTATTTTGAATCTCTTACAGATGAAACGATCTATGCGAAGGAGGGAGGCAAGTTAACGCTCAAACCAAAAACAGGGTCTGTGAGTGACGCAACCAAAAGCATCATCTGGAAAATTGGGGAAGATCTGGTTGTCGACTCGGACCCAGTAGGTTTAATAATCTATGAGAGATTTAAAGGTAAGGGACTTTTTGCAACTTTGTTTTATTTGTGAGTTGAAAGATAATATTCTCAACTATTTTTGTTTTCAGCTCGGATCAACTTGAACAACCGGACTGGAGAATTGACTATCACAGACCTGACTTTTGATCTTACCGGCGTGTACAGGACAGTGATTGACAACACTGACATTGACCACAAGATCAACCTCTTTGTACTTGGTAATCAACCCCGATTTAGTGTGGACTAGTTTTAGATTAAAAGACACAAGAGCCTGATCGGATCTCTTCTTTCTCCAACTCCAGCTCCAGTTCCTGTACCTTCCATTGCTTCCTCCTGCCCTGAAGGTACCAACACATGTGACCTGATCTGTGAGGGAAACACGACCAGAGCAAAACCAGTAACATACATATGGATGACTGACAACGCTGAAGTTTTAGATCCCTCAAACAAAATATACACTGTAAAGGTATTAATAATCTCATACGTCAAATATAAGAGGCTGAAAAATCTCCTAAAATCTTCGGTAAATAATGTTTTCTCTGTTAACAAATCCTGTGTTGGTGATAATTGTAGGATTTTTCTTGCAGGGCGACAGTGCAGGTGTCAGAGAGTTCAGCTGTAAGATGATGAATCCAGTCAGTGAGGAGAGAAGCAAACCTTTCTCCAACCCATTCAAAGCTGGTGAGTTGACCCCATAAAGTATTGATTTGTGCAACTCCAGTCACTATTTTCCTATCATTAGTTAATCCATTAAGTGCCAGATGGAGTCATTGTATGTTTTTGGTTTTAACTCAGTTCAAAGTGGACCGAGGATTTCCACAGGAGTCACAGTGTTGGTGGTATTGCTGTTTCTTGTGATACTGGTGGCCATTGGCCACAGAATGAAAACAGGTAATGAGAGTTCATTTATTTTTACATATATTGACTGTAAATATGTCAATATTTTGTTGTATGCCTGGTTTTTGTTTCAAAGTGTAAAATTATTGGGGTTTTTTTCTTTTTAGGAGAATGGTTCTTCAATAAATGTAAGATTCCTTTAAAACCATTTTAATTCCAAATTTTCTTTGGAATTGCATTTAGGTCAAATGAATTTTGACCTAAATGCAATGATACATCTGTTTGTACTTCATATAAATTAAGATGCATTGTTGATGTAGCATAAATGTCTAAAGATAAACTTGCTTTTGATTCCCCATATTCTCTCTGCAGCCTCTATGCCTTGGGAAAAAGGTAAATAGACGACAAGACAATTTTAACCCTTTTTAGATTCAAAATCTCTGCTAACTTAAGAAACACGTTTATGTTCACACAAAAATGTTTTTCTTTAATCTGGTTTCAGATTTCTGGAGGAATACCATGGCGCAGGGTAAGTCTAAACCTGATTTTCCTTTCCTTTTTGTCTATAAAATGTCAAACATTTCACTGAGGTCGTTTGTTTCTGTTGCAGAATCTCAAGCTGCTGCTTTAGAATCCAACGGCAACACCACTCCACTAAAAGATCAATCAGATGGTAAGATAGCTTTAGAAAAGTTGATGTTTTCAGCTCGAAAGTGAAATATATATATTTCTTTTGTTTATTTCCAATTTAAATTGAAGGAAAATTATCTTCTATAGTCTAGTTCCTTTCCTCTTCTTACAGAGGTCACTGCAGTGAGGGATTAGTGAAACGGCGTCATCGGCAGAATCTTCTCTGGAACAAACATTTTAAAGGATGGATTTTTCCAGAAGTTGTCATTTCTTCTTTTTTCCCCCCCTCAGAATGTTTTTGACATTTTCTACTGGCACTGAAACCAACAACTGACTGGAGAGTATGCACCAAGATAACCTGCTCCACTGTTACATTTGAATAGGAAACACTTTTTGTTGTCGTTATTGCAGCGTCTGAAACATGCACTTCAGTGATATTTGTAAAAGGAAGTAACCTAATTAGAGAGGAAAAGAGGTGGGCCGCCGATCCTTTGGCGGTTTGGCTCAGGAGTTTCCAAAGTGTCAAACGGACAATTCCTGGAAACCCGGTACAGTGGGCTTTCCTGGAAAAGACTTTATATAAATGACACCCACTGGTACTTTGACCTAATCGGATCTGCGCCTGCTCCTGGTTTGATGCGAGACGGGATTCATGCACTTTTGTCTGCATCAGAGCAACCGAGCTAAGAAAAGAGGAATAAAGTGCAGAACTGTTGGGTTTGTGACTTAGCTTTTAGTGATGAAATATGCTCCTCCTTACAGATTTATGATTTTATTTAATACTAAAAAAAGCAATCAAAGCCAACCTGGCTTTATGTGACGAGGGCAATCCAAGCACCAACATCAATGCATTGACAAAAACTGTTTCTATTGCAGTTTTGCAAAATTTCAATATGACCGAAAAACTGCGTCATCCTAGCGCCAAAACCTTTGATCAAATAATGAGATGTGTGTTGCCATGAAGCAAATCTATTTTCAAAATGTCAAATTGCGCAATTACATAGAGATCAGAGACCCAGCTAACATGATGTGTTGCTTCATCATGTCGTCCAGCAGGTTCTGCTTCGGCGCATTAAGGTTCCTTTTTCACACAGGGTCAGGTTGGTTTGGGGAACTTTTAATTGTGAAAAATGACATTATGAAACACTACAATAACAGAAATGCATCATGGAAGTTTTTCAGTCACTTTTGGCCTTTTGAGATAAAAAAAACCCCCCCTAAATGTACTTAAATGTGTAAATTTGTTCCTTTTCTATGTTTTTCTTCTACTTTTTTTGTTTTTTTCATGTATAGCCTTTTTTTTAAACAACTGACATTCGTCTACTTGAACAGGAAGTTGAGGTATTTAAGAGATTTGTGCTGAGATCAACCCAAATGTCGGTGGTTCTCCATTTTTTTTAAACATTGGCTTATTTATTACAAAGAAAACTCATGCAGGCTCTGATTCATTTTAGCTAAAGTACATTAAATAAATGCAATAACAACCCAGTTCTTATTTTTCTTGCATTATTTTTCATTGTTTAACCACTAGAGGGCAGCAAATGTTCATCTGGTTTATGCAGTATAAAAGATAAAATGTATTAAAACATTGAATTTCTACTCAACTTTTTTTTTTATTTCTGCTAATTATGTTTGCAAGTGACTTTTTTTGGGTCTTGTTTTCATCTGAAAGTATATTGTGATCAAAAGGTAAGTTTTTTTCATATCTTTGTGATTCAGCTGTACAAACAGTTCAGTTGAAAGAACCACCTGCTGAGAAATCCTGGCCAAAAAGAAAAAAAAAAAAACAATAGAGTTGTCAGCGACATCTACAGCTGAAAAAACAAGAATAATAACGTAATAATAACGTTATGAGAGCTTTGCAAATCTTTTCATATGTCCTGATTGTCTTCATGGTCCAACAATGTATTTTAATTGATTTTATAATAAACCAGTGCAATTCAGTACTTGTGCTCTACTTTGTCAAAGTCTTAAAATGAAAAAGTGCCAAAAAACAGCAGAAGTAGATAGTATTATTTTATTAATGAATAAAAAATAAAACCTTTCATTTTCCTATTGTATCTCAGATGGTTTTTATCAAAGTAAAAAATACACACTGATCACATTCTGAACAAAAATTGACTCCTACTGAAGAAAAATGAATATGACAAAGTGAAACTTCTGCTGTGTGGGAATTAGAAGTCCACTCTGACCTTTAACCTGCAGCAGGATTAGGTATCACTGCATTCCTATGAATTTCAAAGTAAAAGCAGCAGTTTTTCTTTCATAAATTGTGGCACTAAATCTGAAAAAAAATCTAGGAATAAAAACTGAGTTGCCCTACAAAAACCCCCAAAACAAAAGCATAAAATTTACATCAAATACAAATTAATACTAGATTATTACAAATAAAATCAAACACTGCAGACAGTCCAGCAGTTTGTGGTCATGTTTTAGCTTTCAGCATGTATTGATTGTCATTGTTAATAAAAAAAACAGCAAAATCAATACAATCAGATTTTGTCTACAGATATTTGTAACAAGTACAATCGGAGTGCTGAGATAGGAAAAAAGTAATATGTTTCAAACTTGATGTGCTCTGTGACTGTTTTATGAAACACAAATGTAGTGCAAGAGGCTTCGCATAGCAGAAGACAAGGGAGATGCATAATTAAGGCTCAGAAAAAACACCCGACGCGTCGGCCATCTTCACCAGCGTGATATGACTGGCACCTCAGCAGCTTCTCCCAGGTGTTTGTTGCCTTTAGGCTTTGACACTTTGGCTGTTGGACAGCAGTTTTGCTTCGGAGGTTATAGAAACAGGCATGAGCTCTGTGTGCAGCCTGTCGGGCGACGCCTCCTCCTCCCGCCGGTTCCGGGTCCGGTAGTGACGCACGAGGACGACGCCAGCGCTGATTACGTACGCCACGATCAGCAGGGTGAAGTAGATGAAGTAGATGTGGAACTGCGACAGAAAATCGAAAGGAGGAGGTGAGGTGGTGGGAAACGTTTCGTTTGGCACATCCTCAGGAGGATCAGCCAGTTTTTTGATTGTATTTAAGAGAAAACGGGTTAAGCAGGCAGCCTTTGTAAATGTTTATGCCTCCTTCACCTGAGATTTCACGTCTAATCCCAGGCCTTTCTTGTCTGAAAATATCAGGTTGATGATGCTCTTCAGTACCGTCCCCAAGAAAGTGTTGATGCCGAACACCAGAGCGCAGAGCTCCCTGGTGAGAGACGAGGCGATCTGGAATCTGGAGGTGAGAAGACAGCAACACCCAACTGAGCAGTTTGAACACTAGAGGGCGCTACCTGCAGGAATAAGTCTTTATAGCTGTTAGACAACAGGAAACGTTTTACTCCAGATGCAACTTTCTCAATCTGCAAGGATTAAATCATAAACCGGATTGCCGTATAAATGCCACTTCAGAGGGCGGTATTTTTTAATATATATTTTAAATTAAATTGACAAATTTCAGTCATTATCAGTTTATAATAAAAAAATGAATCATGCCTCAGTAACAACGTCTTTTCTCTTGTTACTCACGTGGCGATAGGAACCAGGAACTGGTAGAATCCTCTGAAGAGGATGTAACAACAATAACAGACCCAGATGTTTCCAGTGGTGCCCATGACCAGCAGCATGACGGCCTGCAGCGCCGTGATGCCGCCGATGACCAGCTCCGACCAGACGTCCCAACGGATTTTAGCGAAGCCCGCCAGGAAGGAGGTGATTGCACCTGCAAACAGAAAAGGAATCATTTACAGTCAATGACTTTAGAACGGTACGCAGAAATCCATCAGTGCAGGTCAAACAAACATCGTCACGTTTTGTTTTATGACACTTTAGTGTTTTCATGTGATCTCCAGGTTACTTAATCAGTTTAAAGTGCAGAAAGAGGTAAAAATAGAAAGTAAAGCAGGTGGTTTAATTCAGAGCTCTAGAGGAATGAGGACAAAAGGTTATCCAGCCGGTAATGATGGTTCCTCTGACTATAGATATGGCTTTAATTGTTAGAAGAAACAACTGAAACCTGATCTTTTCCTGCTGGAAAAATCCAATTAGAAGTCATTTATTATCATCTGTCAATCAGACTCTGCATGTTTTCTTTTGGGTTTCCTTGACTTTTTCACAAGGATTACAAAACTCACTTTAACTTCGATAGAAAACGCCCAGCTCATCTCGCTCTTCTCTCGCTTTCTTAAAGGCCTATATGAACATTTTCAGAAAGTGGCAGCATATGCTAATCTCAAAGGACCCACATATCAGGTAGAATGACCTAACCCTGTGTTGGACAAAGTCCAGCGTACATCAGATATATTCCCGTTAACAGCAGATGGGATAATTCCAGGTAAAGCGCTCACTCAGTAAGGTGGCAGCTGCCTCCACCGCGCCGTTGTAGTTGGAGGTGGGATCCACTTTGTTCCACAGGATGTGGACGTAGAAGAGCACCAGGTAATACCCCGTGGAGTTGAAGATCCACCACAGGGACCAGAGCCTCAGGTTGGGCCTCTTCACCATGTTCCCGACCTCCAGCAGCATCTGCACAAAGACCGACTCCTTCCAGCGCGCCGTCGAGGACGAAACCGCCCGCGGGGGGTTCATCTCGTCCGTTTCGGAAGGGGCGGCTTTCTCCGCCGGCTCCTGTCTCTTCGTCCGGTTGAAAAACAGCGAGCGCTTCGGCCAGGGCAGGCAGCACGCCAGCGCCAGCCCGAAGCTCACGAAGCCCAGGGAGATGGCGTCCAGCGTGCGGTAGCTGATGCTGCCCAGCGACAGGCACAGCTGGCCCAGCACGGAGCTGACGAAGACGCCCAGCAGGAGGGAGGAGCGCGAGTACCCGGCCACGCGCTGGTAGAGCGCCGGGGTGACCAGGGAGAAGATGTAGGAGGAGTACGCCACGCGGCACGCCATGGAGATGCCGTAGAAGAACTCCATCAGCTGCATGTGGAGCAGCGTGGTGCCCAGCAGCATCAGCACCCAGATCACCACGTGGCTCACGCTCTGGATGATCAGCACCGGCTTGTAGCGCAGCAGGTCGGTCAGCAGGAAGGCCGGCACCAGCACCACCATGTAGGAGTACGTCAGCACCGGAGTGATCTCATTGGTCACCTGGGGACAGCAGCGGCGCCGGGTTAAAACTTTTCCCCGTATATCCTGTCCAAACTCAGGACAAATCCTGGCTCCTTAAAACTCTTATTTCACTATAAACCTTTATAGTTTTTATTGTTATATGATTTTAATAATACAAATAGATGGAAATACTAAATAAAAACAACTGTCCTTATTTTTCACAAGCTTGTGTAAAAATACTAAATGAAAAACATGCATCTGATTTTTAGCATGAGTCGTCGCTCCACTTTCACCGCTGTAGCGACCTTTCTGAGCTCTAAGCTCATTTCCGAAATCATTACACAAAATCACATCTGTACAAGTCACTCTTCAGCCTCCGATGACGCAGTTAGGAACAATGTGACCTATGACCTCGAGTAAGACGGATCAGTGATCAGGGGAACACAGGAGTTCATCCGGGGAGAAAAACCAGATAGACAGTCACAAAGGTGAAATGCAACAGTACAAGGCCAGTTGGAAAGCCTTTGTTGTGTTTCCTCTGAGTTAATTATCAATGTTGGACCCCACTGACCTGCTCTCTGGTGAAGTTCTTCTCTGAGCTCAGCAGATTGGGTGTTATGAATGACTCCCCGGGCTTTATGGAAGCCATGAACCCGTAGAAACACAGAAATATCACGGAGTATTTCAGTTTCCCGGGGTCCTCGGCGGGACACGGCACCGCGGCCGTCTCCGCGTCCCCGCGTCCGTCGCCATCTCCCAGCGGCGGCGGGGTCTTCATGTCCACGTCTTCCCCGTCCGCTGCCGTCGCCGCAGCTGGATGTCGGTCGCCCCTGGATGCGGAGTGCTGCCTTTCTGCTGCTCTGTCAGATCAGCACGTGAAGCAAAACTGCTCCAGCTGGAACGAAAGAGGAAACCCTGCGCCGCTGTCCGTCACCGCTTGGTCCTCTGAGTGAACACAGGCTGAGCTACCTGGAACGTACCATTTTACAGGATGATGAAATAGTAGGTACACAGCTGGCATGCCGTTGTCCGCATGAGAGAGAAGCTGTTGACCTTTGCCCCTTTCGACAGTTCAATATTGTTCGACAGAGCAGCTGAGGCTCGGCGCATTGTTGACCTGAAATGATAACAGCGTGTTCTGTTAGTAGAGCCAACCTGACTTTGTCTTGCGTAACGGAAAGTAAAAAGGAAAACCTTCCTATTTTTATCCTTTTTATTGTTTTCCTACACAGAATCTCTCCACATTTGGTCTAAAAACGGCTCAGATCAGACGTAAAAATGATGAAATGATGGCCAATGAGATGTTCTCCACCTCAGAGACCAACATGTGCTGGATTTTATACATGCAAATCAGGAAGCTAATTTATCTAAACTCCATGCAAAAAAAAAAACAAAAAACAACAGAGTCAACAAATCACTGCCCTCTGAGTAAAAAAAAGAAAGAAAAGACAATCAGGAAAATAAACATTACAGATTGTAAATAGAACATGGTGGTGGCAGCATCATGCTTTCAGATGGTTTCTTGTGTAAAGTTGGAATAAGATACATCACACATAAGTGATAAAATTCTTTTTATTTTTGTATGCAGACTTGGTAGTAATTATTAATATTTATTGTTATTTTTTTTTGCCAAAAATACACCTTTACAAGTGGGTTTAAAGCACCATACTTTTAACTTTTACTGGAGTGATATTATTGTGAAATCCTTCATTGCTAGATTATATTTATATTTATTTAAGAGCTGTATCCAGCTTTTCAGGGCTGTGAATACTTTTGCAAGGCCCAGAACGTTCTAAAGTGCAATAAAATCATTTTAATGGGCACTTTACTGATGTGTCCTTCTGCAGTTTCCAGGTGTTACTATAATGCAGACAACACAGTGCAGCAGAAGACGAGCTCGGTTTTTACCACAAGCACGTAACAAACACCTAACATGCGGTTATAGCGTGTTCCGGCATTAGCTAGCAGCTAGCTGCTGATGATGTGGTTAACCCATATATTCAAAGAGACAGCAGCTTTCCAGTCATATATTTAACGACATGTGTCGAAAGCTGCAGCTAACAGTTTAGCATTCGAGGAATGCGGACTCGGACAGCGCAAATGATTAAAAATGGCGTCAACGCAAGTTAACCTCAGCAGAACAGATAACGGTTTTTAACGGCTGGCCGTTGAAAACTGTGACATTTCAGTGGCATAAAAGGGAGGCATGAAAAATGTTTTTAAAAAAATGTAAAAAGTTATGTTACCTCGCGTGGACGACTTGCAACGCTTCAAATCCGCTGGGGTTTCTGGGAAATGCAGTTTTTCCCACAACCAGGATGATTAGGAGTCTCATCAGATGTTTATTTGGGGGGATTGTTTTTTGTGCAACTGACACAGAAATGACGCACAAAGAACAATTTTAACTGGCTAATCCTTTTGTTATATGTCTCGAGCAATATGCTTAAATTTTACAATAATAACATCTTCACTATAACTGTCTTGATTTTATTTTTAAACTAATCTTTCTCCTTAAAAAAAAGGTTATGTATGACCTCTTGTGGTAGGTCACTGCTATTGCAGCAACTATTACTACTACTACTATTAATAATAATAGTAATTCAGCATGTCATTTTATTTTTTATATTTTGCCGTATAAAAATATAATTTGAATCTATATCACATATATAAAAGTAAATATATAAATAATTTAAATGCCAAAATCCTTAGCTTGTTCTCAAACCTCACAAATGAAGCTAATTTTGATTCATTTATTTTTGTTTACTTTAAAAACTACAACTTCCTGCTTCGCTGAAAAATGTACATTAGAGCAATAAAAGTATTTTTATTACGCAAACGCTATGTAATTTAAAAAGATCCACATGGTAACATATTCTATTCCCATGTGTGGTTCATCGCCACTAGAGGGAGACAAACCACGCAATATTTTTGCCATGAGTGGAAAGTTGAGTGGAAGGAGAAAAAAAAAAGTGCAACGGCAGCAGAAATAGCTTTCATTTAACAGACACTCAGTTTATTTAGCTTCAGGTTTAATGGGTAATTTCTGAGGTCCATGATGATTTTGGGACTCTTTTCATCTGCTTTACAACTTTACTGTAAAGATGCAAATGTGTAAAATGAAATAAATTTAATCTTGGAAAAGTTAAAACAAATTCAAGACAGCTTAGATTGGTTATGAACTCAACAAGACTGCATCCATTTAACAAGTTTTAAATAGATTTATTGGTTACAATCAAACCATAACAAGTTTGGATAGATTTTTTTTTAGGTATTTGCATATGAAAGCACACATTCAGCATTGTCTTTATTCACAAAGAAGAAAGATAAAAGTTGAAACTTTACACTGCAATTGTAAATGTGGTAAAATTATACTTTTAAGGGATTTAACCGTACTTTACTTTCTTAAATATATCCTAAAATCTGCTACTGCTCAATGAAATGAGGTGACATAGGAGGAACATGACAAGTTTCAGTAGATGGCAGCAATGTGTCATATCTAAGAGGAGTACAAGAAGTCCAACCATTGAAAATAACTTAATTATCTATTGTCTTTTATTGCCAAACAAAACAAAACAAACAAATAAAAAAACAATGATAAGTCCTAATGTGGATCTAATTTATTTATTTACTTTTTTGTGACAGATTTGGACACGTCTCCATGTTTGTTGATTCCTATCAGCATACAAGCAGTACAAATCTAAGTTTAAGACCTCAAACGCATCAGAGAATTGTTCCAGGTCCCTCCGAGGTCTGAGAGGTTGACCGGCTGACCTTTGACCCTGACAACCTCTCCTGTCTGAATTTCTTCTGCACGAGGTCCTTCATTTTCTTTCTGAACTTCTCTCCCACAAAGGCGTATAGGAACGGGTTTATGGAGCTGTGCAGAAGAGCCAGGGTGTTGGTTACGTCCAGGGCTAAGGTCACCGACCTCCTGAAGCCGCAGTCGAACCATATCAGGTCGGTTCTGATCAGCGTGTCGATCATCATGGTTATATGGTACGGCGCCCAGCACAGGAGGAAGGCGATCACCACGGCTATGATCACCCGCATGGCCCGGTGCTTCCGGAAACCGCGAGTGTTCAACAGCCTGGCAATGGTGACGCCGTAGCACGCCACCATGACGGCCAGCGGGATCAGAAAGCCGAAAATGTGTCGAAACCCACGAGTGGCGATTCTCCAACTGGTGACGCTGCCAATGTCAAAGCGTTCTGCGCAAATGAACCTCTCGGAGTCCTCGTCAAGCTTGAAGGCGTCGTGGAAAAGGGCAGGCAAAGCGAGGCCCCAACCGAGGGCCCAGACCGCCGCACACAGGATCCTGCTGCACTTCCGCTGTTTAGTCCCGTGGGTCTCATTGGCGTGCACAATCACAAGGTACCGATCGACGCTGATGCAAGCCAGGAAGATTATACTGGTGTAGAAATTTGCTTCTATGACCAGGTTGAGGAACTTGCACATGAAGTCGCCAAAGAGCCATCCCCAAACCAGCGCGACTGCAAAAAATGGGAGCGTCAGGGCCAGGAGTCCATCTGCTACGGTCAGGTGGAACAAGTAGACATCTGATGAAGTCAAAACCTGTCTGCTGGAGCTGATCACCCATCCTACCAGCAAGTTACCCGGGATCGCCAGTAAAAAGTTCACTATGAGGATCAGAGACGAGATCGCCCCAGCCGTAGCATCCAGAGGCTTTGGATTACATGGTATTGTGTTTCGATTCAAGTCGAATGTGTAATTTTGGTCAAAGTAGTCGTCAGAGAAGACGTAGGTGAGGGACATGGCTATGGGAAAGAAACAGAGTTAAATCTTTCTTTTACACTAAAGAAAACAGTTTGAGGAAGTTCTTTAATTGGAAGAATGAATGGCACAACTGGATTGGCTGTTTTTGAAAAATCGGCAAATACCGAACCACAAATATATATGCAAGAATTTAGGCTGTGCACCACCAATAATGGTCCTGCTTGAAACACGCACACAAATAAATATTTCTATAGCAACTGTGCAATATAAAATATCATTGAAGTCCAGTGGATGTCAGAAAATAAATTCCATCTTCAAATCTCATAGATGTTTCATACAGGAAGACCTTTGGAGGTGCGCTGCCTCCAACCTGCATTTAGTGTCGAAAATACAATCTTGTTTTTTTATTAATAAGACAAATGCCTGAATTTGACAAATTCAGACAAACACTGAACAAAGTATGTACAAAAACATTAAACACATCAACTAAAACTACCTAATTTCAGCGTTCTCCCTAAACCTATAACAAATGTCACTAATTAAGCCAGATCTGTAAATTTTATAGAAGATTAACTGCATCAGGAACTCACCTCTGTCTTGATAAGAAACCTCAGCATCCAAATGACTGCACCAATGTGGTAATTTCTCTGATAACACATTCTGTCCTGCTGGTTTTTTCTAGTGCAGGTTGACCTAATGTCCTGTTTCCCTTTTTTACGTGTGTTCCTGAACATGACTGCGTCAACGCTTTTCACTACTACAACATGTTCCTCTAAGATAATCTGTTTTATAGGTTAAGAATAAAGGGGTAATTTTAATCAGGCCCACATCATTAACCTCCCGCCACCATGTTTCTCGATGTTGTTTTGGAGTTTGAATCCCTCAAACCATAAATTTGTAGAATGTTACATTTTCTAAAAAAACAAAAAAACAAACAACCTGTACTTTATAGAAATAATAAGCCTCCCTGAGCCCGTCTCTGCTTTCTGATGATTCACCGGACGCAAAATTGGGATACACTCATTGACAGTTAATGATTTATTTGGCTGAAATTCATGATTTCATAGAGCACAGGGTGTTTGTTGCAGGATTTCGTTGGGCAACCAGCTTCGTGTTGTAAGATATTTCACAACACCCACTTTCCACTTTCTGGAAATCGGTTTGTAAAATGTTCTCCTCCTTGATTGAGTAAAGGGCTGGTTTCAAGCAACAACCTGACAACAACCTGACGAAGCAGACAGGTTCGCTGGTATTTCTGTTGTTTTAGTAGGAAAGTGGGCAGCTTCATGTTGAGACAAACGTCAGAGAACATGAAGAGAAGCTAGTAAAGTAGTCAGTAATGACAGACTGTCTCGCTGACAGAACCCTTCCTTCCTCGCACCTTCTACTAAATTGCTCTTCTATAGAATCAAAACACAGACATGTGATTTTTAACTTCATCTTTGACTCATCGTTCTTATTTGCCCTGCTTAACAACAACATGCAGGCTTTTACAATTGTAAATGCCTTAAGCTTTTACAATTGTAAAGTCATAGGTGTCTCTTAATGCTCTCACCAGCTGAACAGGAGTTGGCAACAAATAAATGACAGCAACATAATAATAAATCTCAACAAGAAATCAATTTGGCGTGGTGCTCAGGGGGAGCGCAGCAGATATCACGGTCGGAGAGCAGGGAAGCTGCAGGATGTCCAGTCAGACCGTCAGTTCCTGAAACCGTACAGTAACAAAATGACCTTGAACAAGTGCAGACTGGGTCACCGTGTCACTGTCAGACAATGCACAGAGTGAAATACTTGTGGGGGTTTTTAATACCTTGGGAGAATTTGAAAAAATCTGACATTTATTCTAGATATTTCTTCTAAAACCACACATTTTGTTCAAGTTAATCACACGTTCTGATTAACTCGTGCTTGAAAGTCTGCAAAACTGGACCTTCGCCTTCCTGGGGAAACTCAAGCAACCTCTCTGGAAAAACTCGACTGGTGCCCGGATTCTTGTTTGATTCGTTTCAGAGGAAGACACTCGCCCAGCAGACTCTCATCTTGGCAGCTTGAAAATAGCATTCATCAAACGCCATCCTCAACTGAAAGTAGAAGACATTCCAGTCAAGTTCAGGTTTTTGTTCGTGTGAAAAACGTTGTCTTCCTTGACACCTGAAATGTGCAGTTTCATTTTGCACTTTTAATTAAGTGCGTTTATTTTTAGCTTTCCCAGCTGTCTGTTTTTCTGTTCTTCGTAATGCAAAGAAGACAAAACAAAAAACGAAAACAGCTTAAGTCTTTAAATAAATGCTTTTATTTGGTCATTTTTAAAGATAAATTCACGTTACACATCCTGCAGATGGATAACCACATTCTATAGGTTTTGGTTTTCCAGGATGTCTCACTGTTCCGAGTGGATGCTGAGTAAATCCTCCAATTGCCGGGCCAGGTTACTGAGAGGTCTCCGCATTCCTCCGCATTAGGTTTTCTCTCGTTATTATCTGCAGGTTTCAGGCTCTCCTTGTGCACAAGTCAGTCCCGGAGGACTCCATATAACTAAATGGTTGATGTCTGCACAGAGTTTTCTCCCTGGTTGTTTTGAGAACTGCAGATGCTCCAGTTTTCTTCTGCAGGCCGAAAACGTGTTGGATTCAATTGGCAGCATTCGTTTACCAACTGATGCAAATCTAATCGCTTCGACAGCTGGCTCATTATTGACACCTTAGAAATTCACGTAGATTTCTTTCCTCTTAGAAATAAAAAGGGGGGCTTTCTGTTGAGTGAGTCACACGTTGCTGTTGTGTGTTTTTTCTCTCATTCGTTCAAATGGACTGTTGGCACACCTGCACATACGGTTTCGGTTCTAAGTCAGGAGGCTCTAATATCTGGTGCTTTGTTTGTTCTGCTAAAAGGTTTCTTTTTTTCTTTCTTTCTTTTTACAAGCCAAAACAGAGACTGAACAGCTTGTTATCTAATCTGAAATAGTCGCAGGAGGAAGAACGTTGAAAGAAGCAGCTGAATTCCCCATGAGACAGGAGTAAACAGAATTTTTGTGTGTGTGTGTGTGTGTTAGGACAGACGTCCCACAGTTCACCTTTACTGGAATCAACTAAACAAACATTGCCCAATTAAACATACATACATTTTTAAATATATGCCCGATTTTAGTTCATGTTTTTCTTGAAGTGAAACTGGAAGAGCTCCAATGAATTTAGAGAGAACAATGAAAAGAAGAGGGAGGCTGAAAACATTACACAGGTATGCGCTCAACACACATCAGTCACCAAACCGGCTCTTCTGCGCAAACACTGAACTGGTATATTGTTACATCCAAAAGAATAATAAACTCCCCTAGTGCCTATCGAATCTTTTAATCATTTTGTACACAAGAAGAACCAGATCGGTTCCTCTGTGAGGAATATGAGTTTTGTTTTGTTTTTCTTCCCAGAGAAACGAGCTATTAAGACTGACAAATAAAGTATAAATCAATCCAACTTTATCTGTTTACTGTTGTCTCCGTTCTGAGAAAGCAGCTCAAGCTCTTCTATACTAGGATAAATATATATTTTTTTATGATAAGAAAATCTAACTTGTGAATAGATGGAAACATTTTCAAACTTTAAAAAATATATACGGCAACAAATACAGTTTTGAATGAAGTGTGAGACATAAAATATGAATCTTTAATTTCCTTTTAAAGATGGCAAAGCAAAAACAGATTTTAAGCTGTACTTTTAATTATCCTTGTATAATCTGCAGCGACTCAAAGAGAAAATAAATCAAATTAAAATGATTTTATATTTTCAAACTTAATACTCTTATATGTATAATTATTTTTCTAATAAATTAAATTGGTAGCTAAACTCTATTTATTTAAAATGGCCTATATTCTAGATCTCTAATCTTGAATTTTCAGGGATATTTACATCTCTACAGCTTGAATTTCAGGCTGGACCTGACGGGGATTTGTTGACTGACAAACTCACCACTGTTTTAGTTTTTTAATTATTTTACCTTTGCGACTAACGACGGCTGATATTGTCTCCAAGGATCCATTAAAAGCAAACATTTACTATCTGTATTTTCTTACTTGGAAGAATTAAACATGTTAGACAGTCAAAAAAGTAAAACTTTATTACCTAAAAAAAAAACAATTCAGCCTCTTGAAGGCCAAGTATCTGAAAATAGATACTTTGGGTTAATTTTGTGAAAAAGAAAAAAAGAATAAGATAAACATATTTTTTGCTTACCTGTAGCCTTACCTGAAATCTCAAAACAAAACAACCCTGATGCGTCTTGCTTTCGTTTGACCAGCTTCCCTGGCAATGAGATGAAAACTCCTGAGGTGAGCCTTTAAAAAGGAAAACGCTTCGACAAAACAAAAGTGGAAGGACGAAGAATGTGAATCATTGGACAAGACCCCAAAACAGATAAGACAAAAAAAAAAAAAAAAAAAACAGTGACTGATACAAGGAAATGTTTGAGAAAACTGATCTGACTGATGGAGAAAAGGGCCAAATTCAAGTTTGTGTGCTTTGGCTTTTATAAAGTCCAAATACAAGTTATAATATTTTCTATTAGTGTTTTTTCACACATATTTTTCCGTCAGCAAGTGTAATAACAGAGGCCTTTTTGGCAGCCCATTCTAATCCAAGCAGGACTGAAAATGGCAGCAAACAAGTTTGATCAAACTGCAAGACAAAATGTAGAAGATCTTCAATCGCTGTGTTTTTTAAAATAAAGTCGGTGCATTTGTCGAGCTTTGCATTTACAAATCCTATAATTAGTAAGAATTCAGTGAACCCAGTCTTCGTTAGGTTGGACGATAACTGAGGTTTTAATGACCACAAACAAAAGCCTGGTAATCAAGAAAGGCGTCGCAAATTTAAACCCCAAACAAGTTAGCGTGGTTAAATAAATATGAGAGTAAAACTAAAAAGTGGAAAAGTTATGTTATATTTTGCAAGACAATAGGAAAAAGGCTAACACCATAAAATAAATAAATATTATTACCCAAACGGTAAAATATGTTCTTTATAGCGGGTTTAATCTTCTTCTTTTGCTCCGTTTCCGTGGTAATATTAATCCGTCTGGTTGACTAATGGCACCAAAACATCTCTCTTGTATCTCCAGCTTGACTATTCTTTTCTCGTCACCAACTTTTCAAAAAAAAAAAAAAAAAATTAAAAATATTATATAGCTGGTTTTTTTTCCAGCATTTGCGCCTCCTTTGTTTGGCTGCGGATGGGCGGTCTTCAGATTTTACTTTTTGTTGACAGGGAGCAACAGAATCTAATTCAGAATAACAATTGAATCTGTGCCAGAGGTTAATTGGGTTTTCATCCAATGTTTGGCATTTGGCCCAATCAAGATAGCAGGCTTTATTTCTTCAGAAGTTGACACATAATTAGTTGCCAAAGATAGACACCAAACACACAGTAACTATTCTAAAATTGAGCCCAACATTGCGACTGTTCAGTTAAATCTGATTGAATAAGTATTTAGCTTTTTTAGTATTATATATTTTTTTCCTCCTTCACAAAGGGCCCTATAAATCAAGGGCCCGATGGCAGGTGTCCAAGTCGCCTTCATTGAGGATCAGAGATTGACTATTTGCTTCAGTGACACAAGCTTTCATTTTCTCTGTCCGTGGCTGAAAGCCTTGTGATAATTAATTTCAAATCTGTCTGGGTTACAACTTTAACGATGAGTATTGAGGGATTTTACTAATCCTGTGGATGAACAATCTCTAAAATGAATATTTGTTTTCTGGGAGCTTATCCTGACTGCCGTAATCAGCCTGACAAATAAATACTTGAAAAATATATCTATTTAATGACTCTGGGTAGCATATAAGACATATTTTCTTGCTCAATTAAAACACGAATTTTTCTTATTTTATTATTATTATTATTAGCTTTTTGATTACTTTGTAATTGTGTTGGCAACATGTGCCGTTAGTTAATGCCACATATACAGCTACAGTGTAAGAAATAGCCACAGTATTTCAAATAAAGAAAATGACACAAATTCATAGGAAAAAAATTTATTTTGTGAGTTAAGTATTTTTATGTCGTAAACATGTTGGAGCAGGGGGTTTTGCTCTCCTCTGTCGCTACATACATGTTCAGTGTGAAGGCCTGCTGTAAAAGTGAATTCTATGAATTATATAAATATTATATAAATAAACTGAATTGAAATTTTCTTCAGGATAAATGATTTTTTTTGACTGAACTGAATTGACGAATTAAAGACAGGCAACATCTGAAGCCACCTAAATCAGCCGGGGTCCTGCGTGTGAAGTACGCGGAAGCTACAGGCGGAGGGAGCTTCGACGGAAGCGGTCTGGTCTGTCAAGGGAGGAAAAGGTTTTCACCCGATATTTGACACAAAGCGGTTTAATCCTACCAAATAGCACCGGCATCCGCTGCGATGATCCTCTTAGAAATTAATAACCGCATCATAGAAGAGACGCTGACGTTGAAGTTCGACGGCGCATCCAACGGGTGAGAAAAACTGCTAACGGCAGCTAGCTTCCCCCCTTGAGCGTTTCCCTGAAGAGGACCGCAGCTTAAAACAAACAAACAAGCAAAAACAAGAAACTACCGCCGATAAAAGCTCACAAAATTGCACGTTTCAGCTCTTAAGTGTCTATAAACGTGCTGGAAAAAGCTTCAAACTGTCTCGCTGGCTGCTGTGCCCGAAGCTGGGGTGTGTCTGCACCGGCCGTGTTGTGTCAAAAACGGCTAACCCGGTCAGATTAACCCTCCGACCAGACGTTACAATAAGGAAGAAAACACACAAAAACGAGCAAATAAAAGTTTGGGGACAATTTTACGAGTCCGTAATAAATACAGTAACCAGAGTAGAACATTTCTGTTTCTGAAACAACTCAAAAAGAGGGGTTCCATGTACCACCGCAACTGTGTTTGGCTAAACTCTGTCAACCTAACACTCTGAAGTCGACCCAGTGTTATTCGTTAGCGGCGTGTTGAGCACAAAACTGTGGTTTTCGCAACATAAACGGGCCTATTAAGAGCTTTTACAGGGCTCCGCGCATCCATTATGTGGCTACATGTCAGTGAACCGTCGCTCCTCTTCCCAGCTTCCGCATTCCTGCAGTCAAGCCGAGTCAAGTCACTCCGCAGCGGCGAACTGCATCAGCAGGTCCCTGCAGCATCCACCTTCATGGAGCCTTCTCAGCTGCAGCCATCTGGGTTGGATGACAAAATGAATTACATATTTAGTTGCGATCTTTTGCTTCCAAAATATAATAAAGGAACAATAAACTAAACAATAATCATAAATAAATGTGCACGCTTTGCAATACTGGTGTAACTGGTTCTCTAGTTTTTGATTCTTTTCATGAACAAGTGGAGAGAAAAAAAAGTGAACTTTCAGTCTTTGAATTGCCAGTTAAGGGGAAATGTCTCTTTAAAAAAAAATCTTATTGTAATCATTTACTTCTAACCCGGTTTGGTAATTATAGATTCAAAGGAAGCAAAAAGATATTGCACCAGTGAGATGACTAATAAATAATAACAAGGTGGGGTTCCTGCAGGGTCTTAAAAGTTTTATGATGTGTCATGTGGATATGTCTAAATTTCCCATACTTGAGCTTGAATTGTAAATTATTAAATGTTTTGAAAGTGCATATTTCACAACTGTTTGCTTTTCAGTCAAACTGCATCATCAGCAGCTGTTACTTGGTGCTATTTTTTCCTTTAAAAAGTGTCAAAGTCAGATAACATCTGTGTGAAATCACTTTTAGGAATTGAATGCAACGTACCGAAACTCACAGCAGCCCAACTCTGAATACTCAGAGATGAGACGGCAACTCCTGGGCTGCTCCTCTTACAAATTATTTTTTGGTTTATTTCTCATTTGATATGCCATGCGTCTCCATCACTTCACGTTTTCTGCTTTCTGTGTACATTTTTGTTTGCTAACAGTCAGCGTTTTGTCCCGACAGAACTAAACCTGAGGCCGTCGATGTGACGTTCGCTGGTGAGAAACCTCCGACCTTAGTCATGTTTTAAAGCCTTTCAGCGCACTGAGCGCTTTTATTTTAGGGAGGAAGAAAAATCTTCCTCCCTAAAATACTCTGCCAGTGACTGTCAAAGTGCTGACATTGAATAGTAGAAAATAGCTCCTTTATCGTCTCCAGACATGAATGTTTTCCCTCTCCCGCTGCTCCAGATTTCGATGGCGTCTTGTACCACATCTCCAACCCCAACGGGGACAAGACCAAAGTGATGGTCAGCATCTCCCTGAAGTTCTACAAGGAGCTACAGGAGCATGGCGCTGACGAGGTAAAAAAGCCATCAAAAAGCAGTCTGGAGGAATATCTTTGCCTCTCACTCACAAGTGTCTGAAAGTCGGCTTTAAGGTGCCAAAAGTGGATCGGTCTTGTTTCTGCTTGCGCTTAAAGGACTCATTGTTCCTCTGGTCTGAAAATCGACCACCAAACTGCAACAAGTGTTGACGTTGTGTTCTGCTGTTTGCACTGATAGCATATCAGCAGGCACATAAATCTAGCTCAGCACAGGTGTGTTAGAAGGGGGAATCCCAGGCCCAAAGTGTCCGGGGTTGGAGCGGCGGCCGCACACCGGGGAGATTTAGGATCCGCCGCTCTGATCGCACCTTCAGCTTCAAACACTCTGTTGCCATGTAAGGAAGAAAGCAGCTGCTGTGGTTCCCGGCAGAAACAGGAAGTGAGCTCGAGTGACTCACCCCCGGGCGAGGAAGTGCTGACTGTGAGCTGCAGACAGCGTGCGCTCGCAGCTCGGCTGTTTTCTCACATTCTTTTCTGCTTTTGAGTCGAAAGATGTCTCTTCCTTAAATTAGCGCCGAGTTGAAAAGAAAAGAGGAACGTGCAAACATAGTTTTTAAAGCTGCATTGCTGCCATACCTCAGTCTGATGCGTGTACTCGTTCTGTTCACATCAGCTCATTTCAAACAGACAGGCTCTCATTAGAGAGGAGCTCCCTCTTCCTCCACCACCCCCGGAGATGTGTTCATTCCTCTCCAGCCCCAGTTTGACTCCTTTATAGTACAGATGGTGCGTTCAGGCGCTCGTACTCTGCTGTTGCTATTCAAGTCAGCTCCGTCCTCCGACAGGCTGCTGAAAATCAGGGAAGTGTTGGGCATTGTGAAAATCACAGCTTGGCTGTTGTTAATAACAACCTTCAAATAATAAAGCTGCTTGTAAGCAGAGGTGGTATCGTTTATCGCAGTACATTTCTTATGATGATGATGATTTTGATGTATTGTGATAAATTCCAGTTAATGTTAAAACTCTCTGGAGTCGGGATTTTGTTCAATGAAAGCGTCAATAAATATGAATAAACTTGAAAATGTGATTAAATGCAGTTTCGGTGTAAAGTTTAATGATTTAGATCATTGAAGCGAGTTACGAATGGGAATGTTTTTCACAAACAGGATTTGTTCCTGGGGCTGTAATTGCCGGGACACACAGCCGCAGCCACCCGGTTACCAAAAAAGAAGTGATAAATAGTTTTTAAATCGTCACTTTTACTGTTTTCACAATAGTATCATCAAATATTGTGATTAAGTCTGTATTGGGTAAGTTCCATTTTCAACCATTATGCATCCTTAAGGCAACTCTTATTATTATTTTTCCTTCCACTAAATTTTTCACTGACACGCATACGTACAGCGCACCTAAGGAAGTTGTATCATCCCAATGAACAAGCATTTGAATTAAATCACTTTTTGTGTTTGCTCCAGGTTGTTTTTTTTGCTCCTTCTGCATCTTTTTGTCTAAAAAAATCAAATCAAATCATCTTTTATTTATTTACAGTTACTCAAGAGGGTGTATGGAAATTTCCTGGTTTCAACAGAGGCTGGTAAGTCCTCAAACTTGCTTAAATCCCCCTTTTTTTTTTTCTTTTTTTTAACTGCAGTGTCTAATGTTTTTCATGTTTTGTTCACACGCTTTCGTTACAAATCTGTGGCATGAGAGGTTTTGAGATTCCGCCATTTGTTTGTTTTGTGTGCCTTCCTTCAAGGCTACAACGTGTCCCTGCTCTACGACCTCGAGGCCCTGCCGGCCAACAAAGACGAGGTCGTTCACCAGGCGGGGATGCTGAAGAGGAACTGCTTCGCTTCGGTGTTCGAGAAGTACTTCAAGTTCCAGGAAGAAGGAAAAGAAGGCGAGAAGAGGGCCGTGGTCCACTACAGAGATGACGAGTCCATGTACGAGCGTCAAGTATTTTGTTTCTGTTTGTCCGATGAGGTCAGACAGGAAGAGGTTAGCTCCAAAATAGATGGGTTCCTCTTATTCGGCTGACGTGTGGCTCTGCAAGCCGATTCACAGCTGCAGTTCCCTCCTGACACGCTTTGACTTTTTAGATGAAACTCGATGTGTTTGGACCCTCAGGTACCTGGAGGCCAAGAAAGACAGAGTGACGGTCGTGTTCAGCACCGTGTTCAAAGACGACGACGACGTCATCATCGGGAAAGTCTTCATGCAGGTGAGAGAGGCGGCAGGTCGCAAACGTGCCCTTCTCATATGATCATTAAAAACCAGGCCCTATGTGCAAAAACAGTTTGCCACAAACCCTAACCCCACCTTTAAGTAGGCCACTTCAGTTTCAGACATAAACAAAGAACAGAAAACGAAGCGGATTAGCAACTGATGTCATCCAGGCCATGTTGCTGTTAAATACGGTCTCTACTGGCTGGATATTGAGTGTTTTGAGTTTTATGCGTCGTGACAAACTGGCACAGTCTTCAGTCAGAGGCCTCTGCAGGTTTGTTGCAAGACTGACTGCTACTGGAGATCATTCCTCCCCACAGCATCAACATTCACAAGTCATCTTAGAAAGATACTTGGATGATATCTCTCAGCCAACGCTGTTAGTTCAACTGAACCGCTTTTTGAGCCTTTCAAAGATGCAACTTGACATCAAACTTTCTTGGTATCCGTAGCAACGTGTGTTTCTGCGTGCAGGAGTTTAAAGAGGGTCGGAGAGCCAGCCACACGGCCCCCCAGGTGCTCTTCAGCCACAGGGAGCCGCCTCTGGAGCTGAAGGACACAGACGCTGCCGTCGGGGACAACATCGGATACATCACCTTCGGTCCGTACTCGGGCTCCAACTCGCCATAATCAATTATTCTGATGATTAATCGATTAATTGGATAAAAAAAAATTGACATGTTCTACAATTTTCTTCCATGAACTGTTTTTAACTACTTAGTTTTAGCTTAAATGCTGCTATGAATATGTTGTCTTTTCAGCAAATAGCCTTTTTCTCAAGTCTGTACTTGATGCTGGTTTCAATGATCGATTTATGGCAATTTGATTATCGATATTTGTTTTCTGACTATGCTTTGTGCTTGCGTCCCTGCAGTGCTGTTTCCTCGTCACACCAATGCCAATGCCAGAGACAACACCATCAACCTCATCCACACCTTCAGGGACTACCTGCACTACCACATAAAGTGCTCCAAGGTGACGCCGCTCAAAAATCCCACAAACCTGCTAAATGCCGGAGTCTGGGTTTGTCTTCCTAACTGTTGAATCACAAACCTTTCTGTTAAATGAAAAGGTTAGCTGGAAGTGTAAATTACACTTCCAGTGTAAATTCCAGGTCCTGTCGGAACAAGTGTTTGTTTTGGGCTTGATTTATGTTTAAATGTTGTAATCCCAGCTTGTTTTTTTTAAGCGAATGTCATTCAAAGCTTCTGTGGAAACATCCTGATCGCAAACACTTAACAGAAGTGGTGGTTAAGTGCCCTTAAACATTCAGTCAACAAAGGTAGACTTATTGGCCGCCTTGGGTTGGTACGCTCTTAAAACCTCCAATCTCTTGTTCCATCTTCACGGTATGTGCCGCTCAGGAGGCATTAATACAATATTTGTTGCATGACAATTAGGCATTGTGCTGAAACTTGTCGTCAACAGAAATGAGCTAAAAGCGTCTTGTTATCTTAAAATCCCGCGACGGCTAATCTAGATCTTCATGCTTTTTGCTTTTTTTCTTCTTCTTCTTCTAGGCCTACATTCACACACGGATGAGAGCCAAGACGTCGGACTTCCTCAAGGTGCTGAACCGCGCTCGACCCGACGCCGAGAAGAAAGAGATGAAGACCATTTCGTGAGTAGCTTTCATTCACGTTCACCGGCGCACAGAGAAGAACGAGATAAGAGGGGGAAAAAAACGCGAATGTGATTTGAAATATGTTGTTTTTGGCGTTACGACTCAAGCTTTAGGATGAGTTCTAAAGGGAGATTTTGAGATTTATTCATGATACACGATCGCCATGTTTTCTTTCGTCTTTGTTGCCACGTTTTGCTTCAGAGTCCGCTGATATTACAGTAACAATAAACGTCTTTGAAGGAGGACGAACCCTTCACATGAATTCCATGCGTCCATTTTCACACACAGTTAATGAAAATGAAAGCGCCAGTCACCGATTTAATTGGAGGCTCGCAGAGAATTAAAGCATACCGAGGAATTCCTATCACTATCAGTTTTAATTGTTCGCGAGCTTTTGGGGCGGAGGGGATGAAGCGTTTCCGCAACTTTTAGTGACAAATTGCTGAGCACCAAACTGGTTTCACTGCAACTTCTGTAGAATATAGTTTCATTTTTAGGGACAGTTTTATCTGCTTCAGGAGATAAGACTCGACTTCTTGGTATGTCCTGACTCAATGCAGGGTGTGTAAGCTTAATCGAGAAAAGTAAAGCAAAATAATCATAGCTGATATTAATAATTTTCTTTTTTTTTTTTCCAGTGGGAAGACTTTCTCCCGCTGAGGCCGGCCGTCGCTGGACAGACCCGAACCCCGGCGGACACGCTCAGCCGCGCCACAAATCTGACTTCAACGCCACATTGGACAGGACTTCAGGACGTCCCCCCACCCTTCGCCTCGCCTCCCACCCAAAAAGGAAAAAAAAAAAAAAAACATCCAGCTTTTCTTTAAGTTTTTTTTTTTTTAAGATTTATTCCTGTTTTCGGATGAGTAATAAAGTCTGCTCTACACAAAGAAAGTTAAAGATAAATGGGAAAAAAGAAAGAAAAGGGGCATTCCTTGCTTTTCATTGTTAAAGAGAATTATTAGTCCTATATAAATATATATATGAACAAAATGAATGAAACTTTTGATACGATATTTTACTCCATTTGGTACTCTTGCTTGCCCCCCCTCCTCCCTTCACCATGCATCATCCACATGTTGGATGATTGAAATTTCCTCTCTGTGCTTTCATGTCGTCTGAAAAATAAAACACTCTTAAAAAAGAAGAATGATCTTTTTTTTTTTTACCTTATCCTGTGAGAATACCTTATAACTTTTTTTTTTCCTGCAGTATCAAGTTTGAATCTAAATTTTTCATCATGTTTTCCAATCTTGAGACGTGCCGTCTTTGAATTGTTCTCATTTCTCCTCTTTCTCTACCGTGACTCTTTTTCTCAAGTTTCAATGAGAAAATGTGCGAGTCGTTAATTGTTTGTATTTTTTATGGTTGCAGATTTCCGCTTTCTATTGTGTCGGAATACCGCCTGGTGTTTTTGTGATCAGTGAAATTCCAAAGATCAGCGCTCCGGGCACAGGCAGGGAGGAAGGTAATCGCAACTAAAACTGTCAAACCACAAAAACAGGTAGAGCAGATGAATTAAAGCGAGGCGCAAATATTTTATCACTATCGTTTTGTGTTCATTAGTGGAGGAATTTTCTTTGATCGGAAGAGGCAAACAAACAGGAGCGGTAAGGAACGGATCAGTGTCCACGCACTTAAAGTGACAGAACCTGATGTTATTAGTCATATGGCCTTTTAATCTAAACTGTTTTCTTTCATCACACACACCCATTTTTTTTGTTTTTTTTTAATTGGGATTTTATGTAATTAAATCAACAACAAAGTTGACAGTAATTATCGCCTGAAAAACAAAATGGTGGCTCACACCACACACAAGTCGCTTCTCTTGTCCATTAAAATGGCAAATGACAATCACAAGTTCTGTGCACAATCTAATCGCATTGATAGAAATGGCTACGGTGGATTTGTGATCATTGAGCTCAGCAGAGGAGCGCCTCAAGGTTGTATTCTCGCTCCTTTGCTATTTCAATTCCGTTTCGAGATATTTAATTTACCCCTCTCGGACTCATGTATTATTTTAGCTTTTTGAGATGCTAATAATATCTTCACTTGGTTACCAAACCACAATAATTGCCCAAAACTTTAAAAAGTAAGGGCTAAAAATCTTTGCACAATCCTGTATGGTGGAGCTTCAAACCGTACAGTTGAAGATAATCTGTAACCTTATCACTGAAAATGTTTTTTTTAAAAATGTTTTTGGTTCAGAAAGTCTATAAGATAAGATCTCTTTTTCTTTGGAATCCGCTTGAGGAACGCCCTCTGCGTTGTGAAAGATCTCCAACGATCTGCTAGATGTTACCAGACTGTTGAGTCTCGGACACCCAGAACATGAAAAAACGTCATTCCCAGCGCGTGGAAACACGGGAAGCACGAACAATCAAGAATGTCGCTTTTTCACATTGTTTTTGTTCAGACATGTTATTTTAAGTCAAGTTTCAGTTGTAGGTCTTTGCATGCGTTTTCATTTTTAAATCCAATGTGGGAATGAAAATAAAGGAGGCTAGCATCACCCAATGGCCTCCTTTACTTCGGCTTGATGTCCAACATCTGAAGGAAAACTTTTCATATTCTCCTGATAAAGAAATGCTTTCTTTATAATGCAGATTTTTGATGAACAGCATTGTGTAAAATTTCTTTTCCTTCGGCAGATTGTCAAAGGAATTTCAATCTGCTGTTACTCACAGAAATGTTTTAATTCAGCCACATCTGAGAATGTTTGTGCATGTAAGGCTTGTTCAAGGTTATGCTTTGTCATCTCCACTGAATTTGACTTGGAGCTCCGCAACGTTGATTTTTCAGACTTTCCAGTGGCAATCTCCCACTTCCGACTTCAAATGGGACACACCACCTCAAGACAAATTATTCCTGCGGTACTGTAGATGTTGCTCTGGGTTTTTCTGGACCTCCTGGATGAGTTGTTCATATTTTCTTGGAGTGATTTTGGTTCACCTCTGTTTCATGTTTTCTCCATTTCTCACGGCGATTCACTGGCATTCCAAAGCCTTAGATGACGTTGATTTTTTACATTGTTTTATTTGTTGTGACATGATGTGTTGCTTTTTGAGATCTCTACCCTTCTTCATGTTATCACGTCGGGAAATATTCAGGACCGTTTGGCTTGTGAAATTGAATTGAGCTGCCTGAAAATTGAAATTAATTGCAATTGTTTGGAGATTTAAGAGGGTGAAGGGTTATATTTGGAAGGCTTAATTATCAAAACTATTTAAAAACTACTTTTTGTATTCACTCAGGTTATCTTCTCCTGGTACTGAGATTTGTTTTGATTATTTTAAACAGTCAGGAGTGAAAATAAAATCTTATAAAGTGAATACTTTTAACAATGTATCTTTGCTTATGTCTCATATTTATGTGGATACCTCTTTGCTTATAAAAGCATATCGGATAGTCATAAAGTGCTTTTCCTTTTTCTCATTATAAGGCCACTTGTAAGAATTGTGGAGATCACAAATCAAGAGTCTGTTTCTGCATTGAAAACCAATTTTATTTTTGCTCACACCACAGAGGACACGTTTGAAGAAGCCCCACACTGATTACGCAGCTTTGAAAACACCGATCATTTTTCTTTTACCGAGTGACAGAAACAAAACAGATCAGAGCCGCTTTTAAAGCATCAATCTTCCACAAGCACTTCAGGACGATGAATGTTGGACGCTTTGGACTGGGTATTGGGGACGCGGACGTCATCCAGCCCTTCCTTGCCCTGCTTATTAGGATTTGGGGGTTCTGTGAACAGAAAGGGGATATATTTTACAGGGTTTCCCTCACACCGTGTGCAGGTGTTCCTTTAATCCTTTGTCCAGATTCTGCAACAAAAGCTGAATCAGAAGCTGGATCAGTGTTGTGAGCTTGATTCGGGTTTTAATGCGGTGACACTTTTTAATTTTTCTAGTCTTTTTTTGTTGTTTTTTTTTTAGTAGAATCAGGTTATGATTATGCATTTAGAAGACGACGGCAATCTGCTGCAGTTAGTAGTATTAACAGTTAAAACTAGTGGAAGTGCCCTTAATAGCATCGAAGGCGTCAATCTCTTCCAAAAGCCTTTAAGCGCACTTCTTAAACTTTTTGTTAATGTGAACGTGAGTCATTCATGTTTAACTGAGCACTTCCTTACTATCTTGTGTAAACTGTGGCGTCAAACAGTGGAGAGACTGTCAGGCAACTTGCCCCAAGGCACAACAGACATAAAAGGTTTGAATATTTTTCTCTTCTGGCCAAAATTGCTTTGCTGCCATTTAGCGTTACGCCTGTCGTCTTAAGCTTGAACGCAAGAGCATGTCTGCTGCTCATCAATCTCTCCAGACCATCCGCCAAACTGCTTACACTTGTCGTGTGGGAGAACAAGGGTCACATGTTTGCGTTTGTTTGTTTCTTCCTGTTGGAAGTCGGCCAATCAGATTGCAAGAGTGAACCGAAAGCATCCGTCTGATCAGTTGTTGACCCACGTCTGCTTTGGTGAGAGGGTTAATGGTTGATCGGGAGATCTGCCTTCATGTTTGGGGTTTTTAGCACTTTCTTAGGAGGCGAATCCTGAACTTACCCCGTGCCAATGCATCCGCTATATTAAACTCCATGCTGTCGGGGAAGAAGAGGATAAATAATGCACCAAGTATTATATTTAACTGGTTTACCCTTTGTTCTGGTTGCATAGGAGTTTTTATCCATCAAAACCAACTAAAAGTGACAAGAAGGATAAAACACTAAAGGTAAGAAGAAAAGGTGCTCATGAGCGTCCTCACCTCTCCTTATCAGTCATTACGGCCATCAGCTTGCCGTACTCTTGGATTTCTTTCTCCAGCTTCATCTTGATGCCCATCAGCTTTTTGTAGCTCTCCACCTTCTGCTCCACCTGACCCCTCACTTCCTTCAGCTCGTTCTGCAGGTTGACTATGACTCTGTTGAGGGGGATCAGTCGGTTGTTGTTCTCACCCTTGACTTTGTTCAGATTGTTCTCCAAAGCCTTGATCTGTAAGCAGAAAGGTTTGATTTGTTGGAGCTAATGTACAGGATTTAGATTCTTGGGAAGGAATTACTTTTGCAGATAATGCATAAAAACGACTAAAGCTAACATTTTTGTAGAACCGTGCTGCTCATTTCTTATTTTTGGCCAAAATGTATTAGGAACCATTGTGACAGGCCTGAAGAACCAGAAAGCCTGTGTGTGTTGGTTTGCAGGAACACATGCAGTTGTTTTTTCTGACGATAACTAGCACCCTTAGCTTAATGGCAGGCTTGTCAGGAATGCCTGTGAAGGCCAACCTTGCTGGTAGCGACATGATGAAAGACCAACTCAGAGCAACTGCTTTTGGGATGCACAAAAGACTTGATATAGATCAGGTTCACTGCATATCTGATTTTTTTTGGGTGTTTTTTTAGATATGGATTTGTGTGGTAGAGTTTTTACAGACCGTGCCGAGGCTAGCCTGAATCTGCATTTCCAGGCTTTTCTTCTCCTTCAGCAGCTTGTTGTACTCTGTCTTTCCAGACTCCAAAGCCTCGTTGTTCTGGGCCTCCTTCACCTGGATGTTCTCAAACTAGAATGGGAGGAACAAATGCGGTGAGACAATCAGACGAGTGCAGGAGGAGATCAGCAGCCCAGTTTCCAGTTTCTGACCTTGTCCTTGTACCATTCCTCTGTCTCCTTCATGTTTCTGTCAGCCAGCTTTTTGTAATGGTGCCGTATGTTTTTGACAATGTCAGCCAAGTTGGAGTCCTGGGAGTCAATCTCCACCGTCACCTCCGAGTTCTTGATCTTCTCACGAAGCTCGTCAACATCCTACAATAGCCGTGTGCTAAGAGTTAAACAAGTATCAAAACTAATACTGCAGATCCATGCAAAATGAGCCTTACCTTCTTGTGGTCGGTCTCAAGGCGTTTCACCTCTTCCTTGACCAGTTCCGTCTCCTCCTGCAGCTGTTCTCGGGTCTGCTTGGTCTCCTCGATGTCCTTTTTCAGATTGTCTATGTCTCTTTCCAACTCCTTCTTCATCTTGGACTCATCGTCCAACCTGTTAGCAGAAATTGGAGACATCACCACAAGTGCAACACGTCAAACGAGACACTAGAAACTTTTCACCCTTTGCCCCTTGCCAGGAAGTCGTAAGGCTTCAGGTTCAAGGTCTTAACTTGGAAACAAAATGACCTTTCCTTGTAAATACTCAAAAAAATATATATATATATATATACATATATATATTCCTCTCTATGGTGACTATTGGACTTGTGGGACCAGCAGCACACATCCAATGCTGTAAAGAAAACTTATTTTCCTTCCTATATGGATATGATGTCAATTCTGACTGAGCAATAACCATAAGACAAGAGTTTCAGCTCACTTGTTGTTGAAGTCATTCAGGGCCAGCTTGGAGTTGTCAATCTGGAGCAACAGCTTGGCATTTTCCAAGGTGAGTTCCTTGATCTAAACATATAATAAGAATGAGAGGAAGAAGAAGACGGAGAAGAATATTCAATGTTTGTCTTAACCCACCTCCTTGTCAAGCTCATCCTGTGGTTTCTGGATTTCATCCCAGTTTCTGCCCTCAGGAGCCTTCCTCTTGGCCAGAATGTAATCGATTTCTTCCTGCAGCTTGCTGTTGTCCTCCTTCAGCTGCTGCACCTTGTCCAGGAAGTTCTTCAGGCGGTTGTTCAGGGTCTGCAGCTGCTGCTTGTTGTCCTCTGGGAGCGAGGTGGGGGCAGGACTGCCATTGGGCTGGGAAGCGGTGACCGGGGCGGCGGTGGGAGTGACCAGAGGGGAGTCTCTCTCCGTCTCGTTGCGGTCATTGCGGAGGACTTTGCGGAGTCCGTCAAGGCTGGACACGGACGCCTTGACGCCCCTCCCCCCGGCTCCTCCGAACACGCTGGCGCTGCTGTTGCGAGGCATGTTTGCTTATGATGGATGACAAAGAACTGGCTGAACGCTGATGAGTAAGGCGACACCTGGATGGAAAGGAAGTGGAGTGAGTTTTATAGCTCCTCTCTGCCTTCTTGTCCGCCCACATTAAGGACTCTGCCTCGTGGATCCAATCCTCATTCTTGGACAAACAGGTTCAGGCTTGAAATTCAAGTATTTCATGTTGACTTCTCTGGTAATTCGGCACCTGTTCTGTTTTGATTGGACACTTGCAAACATGTTGGGGAGGTACGCAGGTCCATGCGCCTTCATAAAGGTGATGTGAGGTGGGATCTCATTCATCTGCTCAGTCAGTCTCCAAGGTTCAGCACCATGTCAAAACCTAGCAGCAGCATGAGCGCACACTCCAGCGACAAGAAGCCCAAAATGAGCGAGCCCAGCGCAAAGCTCGACTCAACAGGGAAATCCGGGGAGAAAACACTCTTGGTTGGCCTCAACGACAAGTTCGTCCAGCTCATCGACAAGGTGTGTATGGTTTTTCTTTTTATGTTTTAAAGTACGTAGGCTGAGATATTTACTAAATACAGAGCTGGAAAAAAAAAATATTAAGAGACCACATAAAATGATCAGTTTCTCTGATTTGAATTTTTGTACGTATACAAGTAAAATGAACATTACTATTTTATTCTGTGTACTACTAAGAAATGGTCATAAAATAAAAAAGATGCATTGCTTTCAGATTGAAAGTAATGCAAAGGAAACAAGTAAATATTCATTTAGAAACAATACTGATTTTTAACTCAAAGAGTTCAGAAATCAATATCTTGTGGGATGACCATGAGGTTTTAATGTGGTTCAGCGCATTGATAGTGATTTATTAAGATTTGCCTAATTATTATTTTAGTGGTTACAATATGGTCGATAAAGACATGCTTTTTCTAATTGTCATGAAGCTCCCATTGAAATTTTAAGCATTCATGTAAAAAAAAAAAAAAACACAATGAGACCTAATAGTATAATAACATCAACATTTAACAATTCAACCATGACAATGGAGTGAAACAAACACCTGAGGCCATGAAAAGTGACTCACTCTGCCAGGTTTTCTATTGTGTTTGGCAAACAAAAGCGCCATCTAGTGGTAAATTGGTGGGATGCCCCAATTCAATAGAGAACTGGAAAAATGAGGGGAGAATTGAAAGAAAACAGACGAACCTTAAAATTAGCAATTGTGTGCTTAAACATTCCTCACAAATCTTTAAGGTGCTGTTTCCCAAAAGTGAGATACACGTTACACACACTGAAAATGCAACAAATGAAAAGTTACTATTTGCCTCAAGCACCACCAGTGACTTTTCCCTATTTATATGCAGTGAACATCCCTGGTTCTTCCTTGTTTTTAGGTGAAGGAACTGGAGGATGAGAAGCTGAAACTGGAGAAGAAGCTGGAGATCCTGAAGGGACAGGAGGACTACAGCGGGAACGTGGACGCCATCGTGAGGCAGGCAGAGAACAATCTGCGGGATAAGATTGAGAACTTGAAGAACGACCAGGAAAAACTGAAGGATGAGTTTGAAGACATTGCGAAGGAGGTGGATGATGCCAAGGATAGGTAAGTAGCTCACAGATGGCATCCATGTAGAAAATTGTGGATGATTCCAACGAACCTGTGTTCCTGCAGTGTCATTTCTTTACCTTTATTCCTGTCTTGCTTGCAGGTATGAGGATGTAATGAACAAGAGAGCTGAGCTGGAGAATGAATTTGTTGTTGTCAAAAAGGTAATACCACAATTTTCTGTTATTGGGGGAATGAAAACCACTAAAGATGTTTCAATGTTATAAATGTTCCGTATTTCCATGATTTCTTTCCCACTTACAATTTAAATTATATATGTGTGTGCAACAGGAAGTAGATGAAGGACATATGGAATTGGTAAACAAGGTTCTGGATCTGGATGACCTGACCAGAAAACTGGAGTTCCTCAGGGACGGCTTTGATGAGGTAACAGAAAACGATTTACTTACTTTACTCACTGAACATTAGATCAATTTAAAAAGATTGAAAACTGTTTTTTACCTTCTCAACGCCTTGCAGGAGATCAAGGAGCTGCAGTCGATGATCAAGAATGAAAAGGTCGTCCTTCCCAAGCCCGTCAAGCGGTCTCTAGACCTGGAGGACTACGTCAAGACCACAGATGCGCAGTATGCCGCGTACGCCGCTCGCGCCAGGGAGGAGGCCGAGCATTGGAACCAGAGAAAGGTGAGGATAAAGTAAGGCCGATTCAGTCCTTTCATAACAGTGCAAGTAAATGTTACAAACGTTTCCCAACTTTCAGATTGAGTCCTTGGTCCAAAGTGCAGAGCAGAAGGAGCAGGAAGTCCGCGAGCAAAAGAGGGATATCTCTGACCTCATGCGCCTAATCCAGAGGCTGACTGCTGAACTGGACAGTCTGAAAAGAAAGGTAGGGACCTGGCAGACAGTAACCCCTTCACACACTCTGACCGTCCTGCTGATGTCCTTTGCTTTGTTGCCCCTTTAAGGAAGAGTCCTTGAGAAACGAAATTGACGCAGCAAGAGCAGACGGCGACAGGAACATGCGGGAGGCCAGAGACACCATTGACAAGCTGGAGGTGGCCTTGAAGGAAACCAAGCAGGAGCTGGCCAAACAGATCCGCGAATACCAGAACCTGCTGAACCTCAAGCTGGCCCTCGACATCGAGATCGCCACCTACCGGAGGCTGCTGGAGGGCGAGGAGAGGAGGTAAGTGTGCGCGGACGCCGCAAAGTGAATAACGTGTGAATAAGATGAACACCTCGATTGACGTCTTCTTCTCCCCTTTATCTCCACCAAGATTGAACAACTTTCAACATTCAGGTGAGAACCATTTTATCACCATTCTGACGCAGAAAAATAACCTTTAGAGAAAAACCTAAATCGTGGCGTTTCAGAGTTGTCTTGTTGCATCTTGTGATCACAAACTAACCAATTAGAAATATGCAGAATTGGAATGTTTTCGTGACCAATAAAATAATTGTTAGAAATTTCTCTGATTTTTATATGCTATACTTTCTCCTAACAGTCTTAACACCCTAATGCACATTTTCTTGAAAATGCACCAGTTGTATAAGAAACATATGAAATTGAAAGAACAGGAAAATACTTTCATAATCGTAACTTTTAAGTCAATTTAGATCAGATCTAAATGACAGATGATACAATTTCCAAATATGACAACAGCATGCATGTAACTAATTTCTGCAGATCTTCACTGTTGTTTTGTGCTTCACTAAAATCAAACCTCTCTTCTGCTCAGATTACTAAATGCAAACAACCAATCCAAGTCCTTACTTGCACGCAGACGTTCACCAGCCAGAGAGGAAACACCGGCAACAGGAAAAACACCTGCCTGAAAGAAGTCACCTGCGAGACCAACGACACCGGCGAGGGAAACCTCCAACAATTGAGTCCAGCAACATCCCGAAACCGGACGAGACCCCAGGCCCCTCCAATACACAGAAATCCCCCACGCGCTACAAAAAACGCGTGGTGATCCGGGTGGAAGTGGAATCCGGGAGGCTAATCTCCGAAACCACCCACTACATTGACTGATTTTTCTGGGACTTCCCGCAGCCAAATCCATAAAATGTGAACAAATCATTTTCAAAAATGAAGAATAACCAACCGTTTAAACCTCCTGGTAAAATTAAAAGTAATAATCTCTCTTGCACGTTTTCTGGCAGTGAACGTCCGACTGCAGCCCGGTGGCAGGTTGAATCTGTGCTTGAACTGGTTTACGTCAAGCCGTGTCTTTAGCAAAGTTTTTTTTTTTCTTATCTTTTGGTGGGATGTGCAATGCCTTTGGGGCTTCAGTGTTTCCTTTCATCTTCTCCTGTGTTATTTCCTTCAGACAGTGATGACCCAAGCGCTGAGGTTTTGTTTTTGATGCAAGAAAACCCAAGAAACTTCTAGCGTAAATGTTTATTGTTATTTGAGAACAACTGGATTTATGGGCCTGAGCATGCAGGAGTGTTTCCGTTTGCTTGGTTCCCTTCTTGCCAGTATGAGTCAGAAAATGCAGATAAAAATAAGAAAAGGTTCTCAGACTGGTGCTTAAAAGTTCAACATTATATGTAGACATGCATGTGTTGCTCTGTTTTTAGCACGTTGTCCTGTAGCATTGCAAAACTGCAAGTTGGAACTCCTCTGTTGGCTCTTGTGCTTATGAGTCTCAAATCTTTCAAATGAATCTAAAGTAATCAAATTTCAGGGTTTTGTGCAAATAAATTAACCTTTACAAACACTGAGTCTGTTTCAACTTCTTTCCCTAATACACACACTCTCATCATTTTCAGGGGTCTCAAACTCCAGTCCTCGAGGGCCGCAGTCCTGCAGTTTTTAGATGTGCCACAGGTACAAATTATTCTATTCAGGGGTGGTGCAGCAGAGGTACATCTAAAAGTTGCAGGACTGCGGCCCTCGAGGACTGGAGCCTGAGACCCCTTAGAGACAATGCACTATTTAACCCAGGAATCTCATCTGATTGACCCCTCCTTATCTCCCTGTTCTCCTCTGTCTTCCTGAAACATACCAGATAGTCCAATGGAGTAACCTGAACATATGATGCAGCTGAGTAATAAAAACATCCTTTGACTGCTGGGCTACTTATTTCCCCAATAGTTGATGCCTTAGTTGCATTCTAATGTGATTAAGAACTTGTTTTCCTCTTAGTCTGCCTCCAACTGTATGCTTTCCTCCATACATATGCAGAAAATATGAATTCTGTATTGTTAAAAAAATGATTATGCTGCTATTATTGCTACCCTAATTTCATTTTGGTTCTTTGAACAACCCGGTGACTAAAGGACGTGGTTCCAGGAAGCAGAAATGGACAATATTTTTTAACATTTTAGATTAAAAAGAGAGAGCGAGAGCGAACACGCGCGATAAGTTAAGTTTTAAAAAATCCAGAGGCACGTTCTGTCCGTAAACGCACCACGTTGTCTCATCAGCCAATCAACATCAAGAAAACAAATCATTTAAGAAACGACAAAGGTGTGCGGCCCGACTAATTAGCGAAAAAAAAAATGCGATTATCTCGAGTGAAACTGGGGGAACTGGCTCTCGACGTTTGCTGCTCCAACTGTTTGGTTGTTTTTCACACTTTTGAGGAAAGTTTTTTCACACTTGAGAGAAAAGTGTTTTAAGTTTGACTCTCTCATTAAGGTCCACAGCTGGTTATCTACCCACTCAGGCTGCGGGAACTGGAACCTGGACACGAGGACAGCTGACAAACCCGGAAGACAACAGAGGTGAGCTCAACATATTCATTTATTCATTTCATCTGTAGGAGTTTCGAGCAAAGTTTCACCATCGCTTTGTTTGTTGAAGATAAATGTGACAATTATTTACTAAAATGTCTTTTACCCCAGTGAATGTTATCAACTTAAAATGCAAAGGGGCTCATATGGTTTGTTTTCTGCATTTTTCATTTTGAAGAGTTGAGACTAAACATTTTTTTTTATTCCCTAAGGTGAAATTGTTTCTGCACTGCAGTAGTTAAATTAAAGGTTGAATATTAAAATAATTTCAGTCGTGCATTCTTTTTTACTGAATAGATTGTGAATTTAGTCTGATATATTTTTAGATGTCATGAGTAGAGGTGCTAATAAATGTTCAGACAGCTTTCATTTTGAGGCTATCTATGCACCAGAATGAAATATTCAGAACTATGAGTGCTGCAAGACGATCTGGACCCTGGAGACTCATGGCTCCTATTGTGCATGCTCTTATTGAGGCCAAATCCCCTCTTGTCTTGGAGATTTATTCGCGGTTGCCTTTGCATCCATCTTTCCTCCACAGCCTGCATACCAGCATACAGATAAACACTGCTGATGGAAGCGGGAGTAAACGTTGTCAGCAGGGGAGAAATGACAGATGGAGGAAATCAATGACTGTTTTTGTGCACCCAAAAATGCCTTGGGTGCCTTGTGTTAAAACGGCTTGCCATATAACATCATCTTCATCTGTGAGCTGCATTTCTACATCGTGCAACGAATGCATGGTTAATGCACACATGCATTTATGTGGTGTTTCTGTAAAATTTGATGTTAAAGTTTAAGATTTAGATCAGGGGTGGGGACTCCGGGGCCTCCGGGTCCTCGAGGGCCCGTCTGCAACTTTTAGATTGATCTCTACTTCAACACACCTGAGTCAAATAATGAGGTCATGAGTAGGACTCTGGAGAACTTGACTGCACTTAGGAGGTGGTTCAGCTGTTGGGTTCAGCTGTGTTGGACCAGGGAGACGTCCAACGGTTGCAGGACACCGGCCCCCGAGGACCAGGTGTGTCCACACCTGATTGAGATGCAACAGTACTGAGAAAATGTACAGAAGATGGTTTGATGTTTCGCTGTTGCCAGGTGAAGCATATTTGTCTTGCATAATGTGAGGTTCTTGTTATAAATTGTTTTTGTTTTAAAATAAAATTGCAAGTAACAGGCAAATTAATTTCAGTTGTTAAAAACAGAAAAAAAATCTTCATATTAATGTAACAGCAGGAGCTTTTTTCTGTTTTTTTTTCTTGTCTGGTGATTTTGTTTTTTTAAATTTTATAAATGAAAAGATTTAGAAGTTGAAAATAAGCATTTGTTTTGCAGTAATCACTGTTTGGACAGTGATGTCGCCAGGCGACGCATTTGTTTTGTCCAATTTAAAGTTTTTTCTATTTACAAATTTCTCCATGCTGCTAATTTGTTCTTGTTTATTATTAATTATGACCCAAAAATGTGAAGAAATGCTTGCAAGTAAAACTGAAATAAACTTGATTTCCGTGATAAAGATATTTCTTGCATAATTTTAAGGTGACGCAAAATATTTTAGGCTAAACGAAGAAACATCTGATAAAATGATGTGAAGATTTTTATGATGCAAAGGGAAAAGTATTTGCAAGACTCCTCCGTTTTTCTGCCTTAGATGGCCCGGTGCTTTTCTTCTTCTTCCAAGTTATCTTTGCTTTTTCATCACCGCCTGGAGGCAACTTGAAAGCTTTAAAAGACGTCAGAATCCCCTTTTCTCTGAGATTATATTGAACAGTAATAGGAAATGGACAGTCCTAGAGGGAAGTTTCTGTTATTACTGCTTCATATTGTGGAAGGGAATCTCATCTTCTCAAATCATGGGTGCATCTAAAGGTGGGGTCAGGGGGCCTTGGTAACTTCTCAACTAGAAAGGAAGCAATTATCCAAGTTGGATGCTAACGAAAGGTTATTTATTAGTGTGGATTAATAATTGAAACAAAACAGAATGTCGTCCAACGTGAACTGGAGCTACTCATAACCAGGTTGTAGGTCACTGCAAGCATGTGGAAAGTCATAGTTGAAGACCTTTATACATTTCTGAAAGATATTAACAATAGTGATTCCCTCACCTTTAGTAGACAGATTATATTTAGCTAAGTTCTTTGTAAAGTAAATGCATTCAGTTGTTTTTAAAACGGATTTTCTACTAGAGGGGACAAAAAATAATATATTTAGATGCGTAGTGAATGGGATTTGGCGCCCCTCTGTGGCGTAAATACTGTAAGAACGGTCAATGCTCTAAATGGGTGGCTGATGCCGCAGTGTGGGTTACTAGCAGCTTTTTTTTTTTTTTTTTTGTGGTTTATTTTGCACTATTTTAGTGTTTTAATGGAGTCACAGCTCCCAGAAATGTCAGAAGCAAAATATAGCATGTTAGATTTTAAAATTGATTTCTGGCTGTTTTTTATTTTACATTTATGAATTTAAAAAAATAAGCTTACCAAATAAATAAATAAATACATGCAAATTCAAATTGATTGGACTGAGTATTTATGTGGAAAAAGAAAGAAGAGAAAATTCCTAGATTTCCTAATAATGTAGTTGAAAACTATTCACATGTCCATCTTTATAGATCAATATTTTCTAGTGATATTTTCACTGGGCTTTGTGGGTGGCAGAAAGGTCAAGTTAAGTTTAATTTAGTTCAGATAAATTCAGCAAGAATAAAAATGTCTGTGGTTCGCCTCCCTCTGCTCTGACAATGACTATTTTTCTAACATGACCATGTTGACATTTTTCTACTGCAGGTAAGGGAACTACTGGAGGTAACAACTTCACTATTTGACATTTATGATGCCTTTGCTATAAAACATGACCTTCACAGTACTGTAATTCAACTCGCTGTAAAACAAGCTGCCGCAAACTCTTTCTGATACCGATTCTTGCAGAAAAACGTGATAAATATTAACACACTGCATTATTTCAGAGTGCAGTCTCGTCTGAGCCCCGCGCCCTCCACCTGTCTCTGAGTTTCTGGAGAAGCTTGAACGCTGGTTCCGTGTACTGCTTGTTGGCCAAACCGAGGACCATCGGCACCACAGCCATGCTTCCGATGCCAATGCAAGACAACACAATGTGAGTAATGGAGTTCTGCTTGGTGTCAATGATGAGGAATGCTATACAGACGTGCATGTAAATAAGGTAGGGAACCCAGCAGGCCAGAAAGGTCAGGGACACCGCCACTAAGCAGCGGGTATACCGCAAATTCAGCTTCTGTTTCTGGTCCGACGTCTGGTTTCCTCGCTCCACCGCTCTATGGAGGCGGCAGATGTCCTTCATCTGGCCTCTTGTGATCCACAGTACCCGTCCGATCATGCCAGCGATGAGAAGAATGGCCGGTAAAACAAGGCCGTACACTTCTAAGTAGATGAAGGTGTTGGGGAACACCCGCCTGTAGGAGCAGCACAACGTCAGGTTGGCTGTACAGTTAGAAAGAGGCGGAAACTTTGCGGCGCTTTCCCAGCAGTCGTTCCAGTCTGGTCCGGACCAGTTACTCCACCCGAAAGCGGGCAGAGACGCAAACAAAAGCGGCGGTGCCCACACGATAAGCAGTGCCAAGGAGAAATGCCGATGCATCCACAAGTTGTTGTAGTGCAGAGGGTTGACGATGCATATGTAGCGCTCGTAGTGGACCATCACCAGGTTGGACAAAAACGCCAAGAAGAGGAAATTTGGGAAGATGTGAGCCACCAGGCAGGAGCTGAAGCTCAGCTCCCGGTTCAGACCCATCAACGGGATGAAGGGCAGCGCCACGCCCGTGCACATGTCAGCCACCAGCAGGCTGAGGAAGAAGTAGTTGGGCGTGTTGTGGAGCTGGCGGTTGCATGAGATGCCCAGGATGATGACCAGGTTGGCCAGGATGATAGAGGTCGACAGTGGCACAGTGATGATGTAGACGAGGTTCTCCATTGAGACCAGAGCGTGGGCCATCACTGGTGAAAACATCAGGCCTCCTTCCATTTGCACGCACTCCAGTAAACAGCTACCCTAGAAGCAAAAACAAACTATTAAAACCAGGCAGTGGGGGACCCAGAAGGTTTATGGCTATACTTGTGTGGGGTCGGATGTTTGCACAAACATGCAAATGCATTGTATGACTTTGGCAGCAATTTCTGCAAGAAGTAAGACAGCAGTTTTAGGGAAAGAGGAACAACCGAACGGATGTAATAAGATACGACAAATGATGCAGCAGAGGAAGCGGGCTGGAGGAATTTATTGCGAAAATAAAACAAAGAGATTAAATCAGTAATGATGCACTGTGCCTCACAAGGTGTGCATGGAGTGATATCAAATCATTTAGATTTAAAACTCCTAAAGTTTAAATCTCAGGTTGTTCTGACATAGCAGAGGCCCTGATGAATCCGTTCAAATCCAAAGAATAGTCTCAGTGCGGCCAACATGTTTCCCTGTGGGTGATGTTCGCCTGGCGACCTGCACTGTTTTGTATGTCACCATTTGGATTTTGTGGCCAGAAAAATTCATCCGAGTTTCGTGCCGTCAGACCCATAAGACATTCTCCCTCACGGTACTGGGGCATTTTGCCCATGTTGGGGAAAACAGAGGACGCAGCACAGAGTCCTGCTTCTGTCTGCTGCACCTTAAAGTGAGCTGAAAGAGCTTAAAAGTGCGCTTTCTCTTTAAAGTGAACTAGTCGTTAATATTCTTAAAATAGGGCCACTTAAAATAGTTCCTTGTGCAGATCACTGTGCAGCTCAAGAGTCCACTTCAGCAGAGTATTTATGAATTTTCTTATTTATGTTCACCACATGTTTTTCTGTGGTGCCTTTCTATAAAGAGTTGCTGAAGCTGCAGATTAAACCGATAAAAAGTCACACGCAACAGGAGATCAGATGAGAGTGTGTGTTTGGAGCATGAGGCTAATGTCATGAGGCAATTTATAATGAGGAAATTTGATAAGTCAGTATATGACACAGATCCTGGAAAATAATGTTTTTTTTAGTGGTTATATTGTTTATGTGCAGCAGTGATCTTTGCATGACTGCCTCTCGTTGTTAGAAAGACCTGAAGCCCCTACCTGCAAAAAACAAACGCATTTCTGTGTTTAGTTTATTTTAAAACTCTTTTACAAACAAAATATTTCTTGTACGTCTACCCAGGGATTAATTTGACTTTTTAAATTTTTTCTCTGAATAGTTTCTCAAAGTTGCGTTTTCGTTATGCTTATTTCCCTGACAGAATTGTTTACGAAACCTTATCCGGTTGGTAAATACTCAGCTTTTCCAAATTATTCCAATCGGTATTTTATTTTTTATATTTCTGAGTTTTTATGCCGCCCCTTTAGAAGTGGCTCCCTGGATGGAGAGCCGCCTCTGTGGGATCAAATCCGCCCCTGTTTTATGCTATTAAAAAAAAAGAGAGAGAGATTTTGATAAATAATTTCCAAGTTCTTTCAAGCTTTAAATGGAAACAAACATCCTGCGGGATAATAAAAAATGTATAAGGGTGAAAAACAAAAACAAAACAAGGGAAGCTGCACAAACTTATTTTTTGCATTTAGTCTTCTTAAACAACAACTTAGAACCACTTCAGCTTTATTTAACTCGATAATATTTGGGCTTGTGGTGCATAATGTTATATCAAACACCAGCAAGCATAGAATATCGACAACATCTATAGTTTTGATAGTGAAAATAAACAAGCTTGTGCATTTCCAGGGTTTGCGTGTAAAACCTGGAAATGCATTTTCAAGCAGAACGAGGGGGAGTTTTATGGTATCAAAGTCCTGCTACAGTTTGAGCAAATGGTGTTTTTAAAGGCTCTTTAAAAGATGAACACACAATGCAAATTGGTTTTTAGCCTTTACAAGTTAAGAGCAGTTTTATGCTTTCTGGAAGGTGTTTATAGTTAGGGATGCAGCGAATTATTGACTCTATTTTAAGCTGGGTGCTTCCTCTGACATAAAGCCTCATAAGTCAATGAAAAAACATTCTGAATTAAAGTAATCTTTCACCTCATAATATGCAACATGCTGTAAAAAAGCTGCATTTTTCTGAAACGATCATCAGAAGCCAGCGTAAGCTTTTTCAATCGAAAACCAGGAGGAATTCAAAACTTTTGTTACCTTGTGTGATGAATTGTCCGGTCACGTATCATTTGTGAGAGGAAACCTCAGCTTCCTTTTCTGCTGCATGTCATATCCACAGCCAGCAGCGCTGAAGAGAGTCGCAGAGCAGCCGACCCCGGCGGCTTTAACAAGCCGCAGTGCAAGCTCAGACAGAGACAGAACGAGCAGCCAACTCTCTTCCTCAGTTACTTTAAAGAGGAAGTGTGCTCAGAAGGAGGAGGAGGAGGAGGAGGCGGTCATCCTGAGGCTGTCTTGTCCTAAACGGGGTTTGCTGACAGAAAAGAGGCGTGCTCTCTGACCCTCAATTCTCCAACTAACTCAGATTTTGCAAACTCCTATCACATCTACTAGAGATGCTCTGCTAATGATTCTCCCCAGTTTTAATAAACCTGTTCTACTTTCTAAGTCGTATTATCGTCTCATTTTCCTCCCTTTATCTGTTCAACCATCTGCTGTTGAAGTTCTGCACAATGACAACGATGTGAACTAATAATTAGCTCAATTCATCAGAAAATGCATCAGACAGGCCTGCTGTTAAGTCACTCTTAAGCATTTAGCATGGGAGTGGGAAAGCCTTCTTTTGAAAGATTCATATACAAGCTAGCATCTATTTGATTTTCCTATTTGCCCTTAGGGTGAACAACGCTTATAAATACATACGTGTATACACCTTAATTCATAACAGCTGTCACAGACGTCTGATATTTAAACAAGAAGTCGGATAGAAAAGCAGCGGAGAGCTGCTTGGCTCGCCAAACACAGGGGCCCCTCTTTACCCCGATAGTTTGGAGCAGACGCAGTTCTGGGAGAGATGAATAAGCTGCGGTTAGATAATGCTTTTAAACAGAAATGTTCCCAGGACTTTGAGCATTTGGAAAAAAGACAACACAGGGAGGACAAGCTGGACATAAAAGAAAAACAAGAAGAGACGAAGCATTTTGGATTTCCCCGAAATCTGATAATCAAATCCATATTCTGGTTTATTTATGTGCACAATGGAAAAATGTAACAGAATAAGATTAGTTAAGATTGGTTTCCAAAAAAGATAATTAAAAGTTTTGAGACTTTAATTGTTTTTTTTCCTGGAAAAGTGACTAAAAAATTTATTTACAGAATATAATTAAATGTGAACATTTTTAACCAACGTGGGAACATTTTGTTAGGTGAACGTTTTCAATTCAGACTCTAATTTTATGGGCCTGGTTAGAAAAACATGTAGGCTGCTTCTGTTTTTTAAATAAAGGTTTTTGTGATAAAATAAACAGATAAGCAAATAAGGAACTAATCTATCACAAGTGGCTGATGTTGATAACTGTCATTGCAAAGTAAAAATTGTTACATTATAAATAATATTATGCAGTTTGGTTAGATTTAAAGTCAAAGTTTCTTGAAATCTAAATAACTTAGAAAGAAATTTCATCAGAGTAAAATTGATTATAAAAAGATATTTTAAGTTTTGTATTAAAAACAAAAACCATAAGCAAAGTTAGGAGTCTCAGTAAAGTGAGATAGACTTTCTTTCATCTCTGAGAATCTTGTTGTTGTAGGAGATGACGTCTTTAAAGTAGGCAATTTAAAATATGGTGTCTTTAGTTATAAAACAAAAGGAAAAAGTTATTATTTCTGCAGGGTACATATTGACAATATAAGAAAATCCTCCCATAAATTGTTCGGTAGACAGAAAATCCTATGGAAAGATGCAAGAGATTTTACTCAGCTTTTTCTCTGAATACTGCAGCCTTATGAAATGTTCTTGGAGAAGTGCTTTCCTAAACAAATGCTCAATTAATCAATAAATGTATCGAGCTCTCTAACAGCGTAAACAGAGACGAGACAAGACAGCGAGTGAAAACTAATGTCCAAACGCTGTGTTGTGACAGTGGAGGGAAATACCCATCTGTCAGCGTAAACTACCTCCGACAGGTATCATTTTTCCCCCTGGTGTCCTGTTGCGACTCTGCTGAGTATAGCCGATACATTTATTTATGTAAAACACATCTTGTTTGTACCAGCAGATGTATGCCTTGAAAGGCTATACAGCCTTTCTGGGTCAGTTACCTTTGCACTTTTGGCTTTGTGCAATGGCACAAGGAAAAAGCACTTGTGCACAGGATGCCCACTGACGGTTTCCTCTTCAACTGAACAGCCAAGCGGAAAGGAAGAGCACGAGGACAGAAATAAGGCTGACAGTAGGCATCCCAGGTTTAGTAAACAACATTTAGGAGGCTTTCTGGAGTAAAGCGCGCACCAGTGTGTATCAGCGATACACTGACACCAACCCCATTTGGTCGACGTGAATCCAACTCCAGTTCATTTGCCTTGAAAGTCCTGTTTGTTTGGGGAGGTGTGAATGTGCAACCACAAAGAGAGCAGTAGAACCCAATAAAGAATATCATCCTTTTTAGCAGGAAACAAAACAAGTGGCATTTTCTGGCGTAGTTTCAGGCTGCTACTGCGTCATCATGAGCAACATCCTTTTTTCTCAGCGTAGGTCTCGCTCAAAGAAGCCGTCTTCCGGGAATATGATGTTTATGCAAACAAAGATTCCCCAACGGATCTTAATTATGTAAGGATGGAAAGAAACCCCACGCTGCTTAAAGCCTCTGATGTCGAGCGCTACCTAAACACGAGTCCAGATGATTGATGTAGGTTTTAATGGGTCCTCCAATATGATGCCACACAGTACTTCAGTTACCGCAAGTTAGAATATTACAACAGAGCAATAAACCGGGTTTCATACAAGAAACAATCGATTTTTACAAATGAAACAAAAACATTGTAAGATAGGAAACCTTCAAAACCAGAATACTTGACAAGCCCAATGCTGGTCTCGATGTGGACCAGTCCGTTACTGAGACCGGTCCGAGTTCTTCAGATCAGTTCAATCTAAAAGTTAAGTTTACTCGCCAAAGGAGACAAGTGGGATTTATAGAACGACATTAAAAACCTCCTAACCTGATGTCCTGAATACTGAAAGCACATGGTGCTGCGTTTCTATTGCATTATAAAGAGCTAAATGCATTATGTGAGCTTTTTCTAACTCATTATCTGATTCAGTCTCGCTTTAATCACATCTAATGTCGATGGCGCTTTAAAAAAAATAAACTCTCCCTCCCTCACGAGGTTGTCATCTCCAGATCGACTCAACTTCTGCTTTTATGTTTATCTAATAACATATTTCAGCTGAAACTGAAGGCTATAGAAGCACTTAAAGTCACAGATTTAACTCAGCGCAGTATTTTTTCCACCGGTTAACCATGTTGCCATGACCTGTAATACAACAACTTTGCCCTCCAGCTTAGTTTGAGCTGCTTTAGGAAACATCTTTATCTCATAAACACAAAAATAGATGGGAGAATGAACGTAAAATAAAAGTTTAAATTGCCCAGAGGAGAGCATATTGTTTTATTGTCTGTATTTACAATTGAGTTTACATGAATAAGTTTGTGTATTCAGTTGGAAGACCACACACATCCTTACATTTAGGAAATGATGCACCACAATTACAGGAAAAAAAAAATCACTGTCCTTTCACGTGCTGATTCATGAATAAGACCTTTTAAACTAAACAGGTGGGTGGATTTGTTTAGTCTGACAAACAGAAAAATAAGAAGAAATCAGGAACATTTCTGTTTTAAAAACACACAAGGATACTTTAAAAATCTATTCTCCGGTGTAAGAAAACAGAAAGTTTGAGCTGTAATTGTCCATTTGCTGTGTTGCAGTTCCTCTTTCCTTTTTCTCTGGCTTTGGTTTTATCGATCGGGTCTTTGGAGGCAGAACACTTTGGCCTGGTTGTCTCCTGAGGCCGTTATAGCAAGAGACGCTTCCCTGAGGAGACACAAGGACACCGTCAGGTTCACCAATTAGAAATGAAGTGAGTCTTTCAGGCTTTTGGCTGAATCTTTGTTTTCTACCCTGACCAATAGGTGTCTCCGAACCTGTTGACGGTGAAGTCGAGGATCTCCGCTGTGTGGCCGCGGTACTCTGACAACAAGTTTCCAGAACGGGCGTCCCACAAATGCAGCGCTCCGTCCAAACTGCAGGTGGACACCACAGACGAAGACTCCTCCCACTGCAGGTGAACAATCCAGCCTGGAAGGAAGAGGCAGAAAAAGGTGGCAGCGAGGAGATTTTCACCGCAGTGAGCTAAAGTAAAACAAAAGCACACTCACCTCATGCTGGCATCTGTGCCTCAACACCTGTGTAGAAAGGTCATAAATGGCCAGAGTCCCATCCAGGTACGCCACAGCGATGAGAGGTAGGCTGCAAACATCCCCACAGAGGTAAGACGCCGAAGCCGACGCGCCACATTTGTATTCTGATTTTTAAACTTACATGTTGCAGAATCCCACAGACTCAACAGAGTTGGTCTTCCTCATCTTTCGATCCTTTTGCCTTCCCTCCCTCCACAGGGAACACTCCAACTACCTGTAAACACACTTTCACTGAGGCCAGCTGCTGGGAGGACGTCTCCCGTTTCATGTTGGCTACACCGGCTCACGGCTGCACCCACCTTGCCTGTGGTGGTGTTAACAAGCTTGGCACAGCCGTCCACTGAACCCGTCAGCAAGAGGGAGCCATCCTTGTTGCAAGCGAGGCAGGTCAGCGCCCCCTGGTGTCCATCTTGACCTGCATAAGGATGCACTTTAATCTTTGAAATGTTCTTCCCTGACTCGGTGGCATGTGTCCTGTGATAATGTGGTCGAAACACATAAAGTGGTACGTATGCTGAGTAATCAATCGTTGTGTCCTACCTTTGATGACATGAATGGCATTTCCGTGCTTCAGGTCCCACACCCTGACAGTTCCATCCTCATAACCCACCACGGCTCGTTTACCTGGAGGAAGGCGTGGCAGCGTCACAGTGTTTCCCCAAAGACTTGACAGCATCAAACTTAAGAAGGTAAATTAGTTTTTTCATTGTGGTTTTATTTGGAGAAACACTTAATTTAATGAACACTTATTATGTTTTAAGATTTAGGGCAGGTCTGCTTTCATGCGTGTCTTTTCATTCAGTGTATGCAATTATAAATGGTCCAAAAATCAAGAATATTATTCTTTGTTTTGGTGTTTTCTCACCGTCAGGGAGGACTTT